AAAAAAAAACGTAGAAACGTTGCGCGATTTTGATAAAAGTTGTGCTAATAGAATTTTCTAGAAAATTTGTCTGCACTATTTCCGATGACGTAAAAATGTCGTGTTCCAACGAGAGAGAAATAATTAAAGAGTTTAGGTGAAGGTCACTCTCCCCTAAGCCCTAATCACGGGAATTTTCCAGTGGCCCTCGTGGTGTACATCCGACACGCTCAACTGAAGGAGCTGCTGGTGTCGTCTCAAATGCCCCATTACTGGCAGAGGTTGAATAGAGTCGCATTTGCAGTTGGACTTATATCGACACTGGGCATCTCAGTGGTCGCTAATTTCCAGGAAACCTCGGTCCTCAGTGTTCACCTCATCGGGGCCATCGCGGCTTTCGGGGGAGGCACAGTCTATATTTGGCTGCAGGCATGTATCACCGATAAAATCGATCAATTTTTTTTTATCTTGCATTTAATCGCAGGAGAAAGAATTCTTATCGATTCGGACAATGACTTAGTTCCGGTCGTTCTCGGATTGTTAACAATTTTCTTTTGTACGGATAATCAGAGGTTATTGACGTATTCCTTTCACAAAAGGTCAACATCCACCAGAAAAAATCATGGGAAAACCTAGTGCATTCGCTAGGAAATTTTATTCGATTTTTATTGAACTTCTATTGAAAATTCTAATAATTTTTCGTTGATTCTACCGAAAAATTGAATAAAATAAGAAATAGTTTCCATTTTCCCTGTTTTTTAATTGAAAAAAAAAACAGAAAAAAATTTTGAAAAATGAAACAGAAATGAAAAAAAAATTAACAAATAAAAAAAATAATAAAAAATTAAAATTATGCATCGGGTGCTGGATCAGAAGTAAAATAAAAAATAGTTTCTATTTTTCTTTTTTTTAATAGAAACTATTTTTTATTGAAAAAGTCAGTAGAATTCGATCTTTCTATTCAATTTATTCTATTGAGATGTTTTCTATAGGAATTCCTCGATAAAAATTTATCAATTTTTTCTCACTCCATTTTTTCTTTCTCTCATTACATAAATAAAAACAGAAAAAACTTGGAAAATTTGAGCCGAGGAAGTTCTACAGGAAACATCCCAATTGAATAAGATGTCAAGAAAAATCAAAACCTATTGATTTTCTCCATAAAATATTCCAAGCGATGGAATTTTTCCTCCGATAATCGCCCATAAAAGAAATTTATCTCGTTTCAGGCAATTATTTCTTACAAAATGCAACCTCTCGGCCCCGCTCCACTCGTCATAAACCTGCGATTAGCCCTGTGCATGATGTCTACGGTATTGTTCTTCGCAACATTCATCGCTGCTGCATTCTCGGCCAAGGCCTTCCACGGTAATCAAACGATAATGACTTGTTGAAGCTATGAAATTTATTACACCTATCAAAAAATTTCGTAGAAAAACGTAGCGAATCTTCAAGAAAATTCTAGTGGACTTTTATTGAAAATCCTTTCAGTCCTCGACCGATTGTATTGGAAATTTCCATAGCTTATCTACGCGTTTTTTAAAATAAAAAATGGTTAGTGGAAAATATTTAATAGAAAAAATCAATTGAATTCCACTCTCCTATACAACTTATTCTATTGAAATATGTTTAATTGTTTGATTATTGAATTGCAGAGGTATATTCTTGGAATGTGATCGATGGGTATTTGCATTGTTTTTACATTGTCGATGCTCATACTGAACAGTTGAAAACCGACTCCCATAAGCCGCTGTACAAATTATATGTTTAATGATTTCTTTTACAAAAAACTGAGCAGTCAATTGTGTTCGGCCTCCTTGCGACATATTTCTGGTTATTTCAAAAATTTTTCCTCAAAATTTCACATTTTTTGTACATTGTCGACTGTTCCCATATAACTAACTGAGAAAATACCTTAATGAAAAAAGGAGAAAACAGTGTGGAGAATAAAAACATGGAAAATTCATTCCGAGAAATTCTTATGGAAAATGTAATAGAAAAAATTCCGTAGAAAGATAAAGTTCTACTGATTTTTCATATAAAATATTTTCGGTCAAACTAAATGAATGTGACTTAGTCAAATTAATATTATTGCGTCAACGTCGCGAATCCTGGGTAACGCCAAACGCTGATACGGCTTGTTATAAAAATTGCTACACCATGCGTTCTTGAATTTAATTGGGAATTTTCTCATCCAAATGTCAGCCAATAGAATTGCACTATTCGACTGTTATTTCATATAGTCAACACGGTATTCAGCTGATAATTTTTGATAATTCAACTGGTAATTTTTCCAAGCATATTATATTATATATTATATTATATGTGGAGTGTTGTCTTAATATATAATATAATATATAGTAACAGTATTCAGTAGTATTATAATATATAATATAATATAATATATATTATATTATAATATATAATATAATATATATTATATTATTATATATATCAGAGGATGACGGCTAAGGCGCATTTACTGGTTTCAAAATCCGTTAGTCACCTTTTTGGAAAGAGATATTTTCTATTGAACATTTTCTATAAAAAAAGCGCAGTAAAGCTGCGGAATTGTCAAATAGATTTCTAAAAAGTAACAGAATTTTCTATCAAATTCGCTAGCTTTTCTGTGCAATTCTCCAGTGAATAGAGTAATAGTGCGGAAAGTAATGTTGCATGTTCTTCGCAGGTGAAGATGTGCGGAAGTGGCGGCCGGAGGACGGCGGGTGGGGATTGCATCTCTTCAGTAGTATCTGCGAGTGGGCGTGTGCAATCGTTGTCTGCATTTATATATTAACATTTACCAACGAGTTCCGGGAGATTCAGATGAGCTGTCCGAAGGTAAAGAGAAGAAATGTTTATAATTTTTTATAAATTTTTACCGGGTTTGAAAATAGTTTGGGATGTGCTCGAAGGAATAATCAAAGCTTGAAAAAATGAAGAATTTTTTAAAAACGATTCTGTGCAACTCTGGATCTTTCAACAATTTTTTACAACTTCCAATAATTTTCATAAGGAATGAATAATCCTGGAGGATTTTTCTAGAAGCTTCTGAATCAGTCCAGACCGCTTTATGACTTTCTAGAAAATTCCATGATTTCTCAGAAAAACGGACATCTCAAATTGATGTAATTAGTATATTTAATGGCCCGTAGTTGATTTATATATTGATAAGCTGAGATAACCTTGAAATATTCCTAAGTCTGGCATATGCTTGGCGAAATAGATTGCTGACCAAAAATATTTCGCCTATTTTTAAGGATGTTTATCCAAAATCGCAATTATTAAAAAAAATTGATTTTATTTTCAACTGAGAGATGAAGTTATTCCCTTTATCTTGATAAAAATATCAATCCACCAACCCCCGTTTATTATTTAGAAAGGGAGTGGACAAAATGCCCCAAACACATGCGTTAACATGGGATAGAATCTTTTAAATATTTCCTCTTTTTGCGCGGGTACCCCGAATTTTTTTTTGGCCATTCGATTCAGTATAGTTTTGCACATTACCTGTTATCTTTATTTCTATTTTTAAAGTCTTCTAGTACATGAATTATAAATTTCAACATAAATCCCATGAGAGCCCGTGTATAAGGAAAAAGTTGTTTGTTTATTTCTGGCGAAACTATTGCGATTAATTTTTTTTAACATCAAAGAAGTTAGTTTCATATGTTCTGCTATCAGCCAAAAAAAAATTTGGAATTTTCCTTGAACATGAAAAAATAAGATTTGCTGAAAATGGCTAAACATTCTTAAAGTAGCTCTACCCTTCGGCCGGGCTACGCTGTACTTTTGGATATTTTCAATTTTTAAATTTTTCAACTAAATTGCATGGAAAAAATTTGAAAAAATTCATACCAAGTCAGTATTATCTAAATTAAATCTCGCAAAATATTGATATTTTTTCAAACATTTCCCTCTTATAAATAAATAATAAAACTTGTTTGCAAAACGGTGGATTATTTTTTATGAGGTGTCAAAAAATTCTTGATTTTTTCACATCTAATGAAAAAAAAATCAGAGTTTAATCTTTGATTACGATGGAAATGTTGATTTTCACATAAGACACCGAGTTAAATCCTGATTTTTAAACATTTCTTCTTTGAAAACCCAAAACGATAATTAAATTAATAAAAAAAAATAGAATTCCGAATCTAATCGAGTTTTCTGCAATTGTTTTGCAGTTTTCAATAATCTTTAAATTTACCGTAAGGGTAGCGCTACTTTAATAGCGGAAAACATCAAAAAATGGACTTCCTCGTAGTTATACGGGGCAAAATCGATCGGGTCCGCGATATTCTCTGGTTATTCCCATATTCCGTCATATGTCACAAACTGTTCACTGACTCCCAAGTCCCAGAGGTGACTTTTAAATTTCACCGAAGTATCCCCTTAAAAATTAGTTCCCCATATCCCCCAAAAAAATATAAAAAAAATCCGACTAACCCCAGCATTTCACTCCCCCAGATAACCTTCAAGACGGACTACTCCCGGAAGACGTACCCCCTCTTCACGACCCTCTCGACCCCAACGAGTCCCTCTCACAGTCCCTGATCCCCCCCAGGACGTACTGGTTACGTCAGCCTGCTCTCGCCCTCAGAAACCCTGACCATCGAGATTCACCAGAGCAACTCGATGGTCTCCGAGACCGCAGGTCTCCTGGACCCCACCCAGACCTCCTCGCGGCTGCCACCCCTGCACTACAGGACCTTCGACTCGTCCCTCGCGGACAGCCACAAGAACGCCTTCACCCAGCGCTACAGCAGATTCTCCCCGTCAACCGAGTCCCCAGACTCGCCCGAGCCCTGCTCCTCGTACTCCCCAGCAAACAGCCACGAGATCTACGGTGCATTGTCCTCGGAGAGTGACAAAATCTACGTGATGCCACCGCCAGACATCACATCCACCTACGAAATAGCAAACAGCCACAGCAACTACGAGATCTTCAACGATCACTTCAACATGTGCGATGACAATGAAATCCCAGAGATGACCCTCAACGAGCCAAAGAACATTGGCAACAGTGACGATATGGACTCCAAACGTGTGAGGATAAATGACAGTGCCTATGATATTGAGCAGTGCCTAATGGAAATTGAAGAGAGCCTATTGAATATTGAGCAGAATTTAATTTATGTACAGGATCTTGAGATTCCACAGCTCAACAATCTGCTGCAATCGACGATTGACAAAAAATGTGGTGATGAATGGCCTTCGTTTGTGTGTAAATCTAAGAGTATGGTATTCAGTAATGAACAGACATCGGTGTCTAACGGTGACAGTGATGAGGGTGAAAATATCAGTCTCATTGCCAGCCTTGATAATCTTCCAACTAGACAATGTGGTAATAGGAATAGTGATAGCACTAGGAGTCTTAGGGATACGAGACATAGGTCTGTTAATTTTAATTCACATGGTGATGTGAGAAAGTGTGAGGAGGGGAGGAGGAACTTTCATCGTAGGAGGAAAAATTCGTTGGACGTGGAAGCGTTCAAGAGACGAAGGAAAACATCACTAGATCATTGTTATTTTTCTAAGAATAATGGGGGCAGTGGGGGGTATAGAAAAGCTTCTTCTCATGGTGCTTTGGAGATGTTCGCTAAGGAGAAAAAGAGAAGAGTCAGTGGTGGTACGAGTATTAAATCAAATGATTGTATTTTCAATGAAATTAATGAGAGAGCTAGGGACTGTCGTCGAAAGTTTGATAATATTTGTACAGCCAAGTCGGATAATACCGCGAATCATATTGATGTCAAGATCGATGAATCAATGGGGAAGAAGAATTATCCGAGAGTTAATTCGTTGCCTAATCCGGATAATGCACTTGTACCGGGCAAATTGATCTCTCTCTCGTTTTCACTTTTACTGGCAGCATTGCTTCAGGCTGTCAGGTGCCTGGCTGATCTCGTTGAGGACACTTTTCGATCAGTTGCACTCGATAAATACGCTTTACAGGATTAACTCAAGTGTCAGTGATTGAGGCTGGAGTTATTCAGTGAAAACATTATTATTAATAAAAGAGGAAAAAGTTTTGGAAAACCTACTTTTTTAATGGAACCTCCTTTTGATATAGATAAGAAGAAAAATCGGTCTATTAAGTTTAATTCAAATGGTAATGTGAAAAGGGGAGGAGAAACTTTCGTCGTAGGAGGAAAAATTCGTTGGACGTGGAAGCGTTCAAGAGACGAAGGAAAACATCACTAGATCATTGTTATTTTTCTAAGAATAATGGGGGCAGTGGGGGGTATAGAAAAGCTTCTTCTCATGGTGCTTTGGAGATGTTCGCTAGGGAGAAAAAGAGAAGAGTCAGTGGTGGTACGAGTATTAAATCAAATGATTGTATTTTCAATGAAATTAATGAGAGAGCTAGGGACTGTCGTCGAAAGTTTGATAATATTTGTACAGCCAAGTCGGATAATACCGCGAATCATATTGATGTCAAGATCGATGAATCAATGGGGAAGAAGAATTATCCGAGAGTTAATTCGTTGCCTAATCCGGATAATGCACTTGTACCGGGCAAATTGATCTCTCTCTCGTTTTCACTTTTACTGGCAGCATTGCTTCAGGCTGTCAGGTGCCTGGCTGATCTCGTTGAGGACACTTTTCGATCAGTTGCACTCGATAAATACGCTTTACAGGATTAACTCAAGTGTCGGTGATTGAGACTGGAGTCTCATTCAGTGGAAACATCATTATTAATAAAAGAAAAAATTGTTTTGAAAAACCTAGTATTTTTTTATGGACTTTCTTATTAACGCCAGACGTTGTTTGTGGGCTTCTGTCACTGTTGCACGCTTGTAAGGGCGGACCTCATCGGTGCCGAAACCTGGGATCCACATGTTCCAATTCCTCTCTGCAAAGGGAATACAAACGTTGAAAATTTGAATGAAAATATATGAATTTTTAGAAAATCTAGCAAATGCGCTAGAAAATTTCTGTAGAATTTTCTACGAAAGTTTCTATAATTTTTTGGTCGACTTGATTGAGAAATTCCGCAGCTCATCTGCGACTTTTGTACCTATCGAATCGGTCAAAAGAAAATATTCTACAGAAATAATCAATAAAATTCCATTTTTCTATACAACTTATTCTATTGAAGTATTTTCTATAGAAATTGTGCTTAAATTTTGCCAGTTTTTTTGTTTGATTTTTTCAATGAAAATAGAAGAAAAAATAGAATGGATGAAGCTTTGAAAATTTTGACTAAAAGAATCCTTTTCAACTCTCAATACGCTGTTTATTTATTCATGGGAAACACTTGTCTGAGCGATTTTCAAACTTTTCTCCAGGAAATTTTGGAAAACCCACTGGAGTTTCAGCAAATCCTGGAGAAATCACTGGAGTGATTGACTCTAGTGATATCCTGATGTTGACAATCCCAATCATGTCATTTATACAGGAGAAATACTTATCTTAGTCATTTTCAAACTTTTCTCCAGGAAATTTTGGAAGAACCACTGGAGCGAATCAGAGAGAGAGACATATTGTTTAGAAGTGTTCAGAAGTGTTTTAGACACCGAGAAACGTGGAGAAATCGCAAAAAACTAATGATTCATTTTCAGGGTGATTACAATAACTACCCGATAGATCGGGAAGTTAATAATCATTTGAGTCATCCCACCTAAATGCAGCTGCACATCCTTGACCTCCACCGTATTAGCATGTCGGTGTTTAGCGAGTAGACAAGCGGCATGGACGGTAGTCTCCACGAAGTCATCAGCAATCTGCAGGAGCAGCTCCTCGACTTCCTCGTCCAGTTGCACCGTGCAGTCTACCTCCTTCACCAGCTCCTGGAGTCTCGTCTTCGTCAGGAACTAAAAACCGAAAATAAAAACCCCTCAATTATTTACCTCCATCTCAGCCAGTAAATCACACGTGAATTAGGGGAGGATGGGCCAAAATGGACACTTCATCTTTTTACTGTTTTTAATTAAGAGACAAATTCATCAATAAACCTCAGTTCGGCCTAAAATTTCATAGAAAAATCTAGCGAATTCTCTAGAAAATTACACTAGTTCTTCGCAAGTTCTATTCAAAAATTTCGCAACTTTTCTTTTTTTTTTTCATAGAAATTTTATAGAAAAAATTGCATAGAATTTTGTAGAGAAAATGGAGTTTGTTAAAAAATTTAATTGGAAAAAAAACGTGAAAAATTTGCGCCGGAGAATTTCTGCATAAAAAATCTGAATAGAATAAATAGTATAGAAAAATGCAAATCTATTAGCTATTTGTCTTCTCTCTAAAATATTTCCTATTGAAAATATTTCTATCGAGAAGAGAAGTGCAGAAGAGCTGCGAAATTTATCAGTGAAATCGTTAAAAACTAATAGAATATTCAATAAAAGTTCGACAGAAATCCAATAGAATTTCCTAGAATTCGAAGGACTTTCCATATAATTTTTTGTGCGTGATGTGCTTCCTCTGGAGAAAAATTACTCCTTCTCCTCAAAAACTCAATGAATCTTTGAAAATTAAAAAAAGCCGAAGTGTCTGTTTTGCCCCACTCGCCCCTATATTTCTGGTACATCAGGAGTCGACGATAACTGTGGATTCTGCTTTTGCTGTGGCGTGTGAGCATTCTGTTGTTGTTGATTTTGTTGACTGCACTCTGACGAATTACTCTGCATTGTCATGGGAGACTGATTGTTGGGGCCCACAGACTGTAAATTACCCAATGATGGATTTTCCTGAGACATTTTCACTATTTTTTGTCTCTATTTAATTATGTATTTTCACTGTGGAACTATTGTCAACTCGATAAACATAAATAAACAACCTTTGAGGTTAGAAAGCTAGTGTTATGCAGGGATGTTCAATAATGTGACATCGATTACTCGAATTATCGAGACTTGACCACTCGATAATTGATATTTTTGTCGATTTTTATTGGCGAATCGATATATCGGTGGATCGATATTTCTTCCCTCCCCCCAAAAGTCCGCGGAAGTGAAAAAAAGAATTAGTAAAATTCGGGGAAAACATTGGGCCATGCATTCTCAACCAAAAGTGGATGAAAAAATCTGGGGATAGCTTGAAAAATTTGTTCTTCTCCCAGGAAAAGAATGGAATGAACTCAAGGTGAACTGGAGAGGATGAATATTTTTAAGAAATATTCAAAAATGCGAGGTGGATACATCCTCCCTCTGACTGTAAGGAGCTCTAACAATGGCAACGCTCCCGCCTCGCATTTTTAAACATTCCTTATAATTATTTATCCTCTTCAGATGATGCTCAACTCGCTTCATCGGGTTTCACTGAAAAGAATTAATTTTTTAAGCGATCTTTCAATTTTTTCCATCTCCTTTTAGCTGAGAATTCATGACGCAATTTTTTTTCAATAGAAATTCCTCGGTTCCTCTACGAAAAGAGAAGTAAAATAGAGTGGAAAAACTAAGGAAATTCATGTCAAAAAATTCTTATAAAAAATGTTTCAATAGAAAAAGTCGTATAGAAAAAAGAAATTCTACTGATTTTTTCCAAACAATAGTTTCAACCGGACATTTTCTATTAAAAAAAACGCACATTTAAACTACTTAATTCTTCAATAGAATCGGCCGAAAACTAATAGGATGTTCAATAGACATGTCATAGAAATTTAATAGAATTCCCATTAGAATTCGCTAATTTTTTTTGGCTCTGACATTTCGCAAATGAACGATATTTTTATATCGAGCTTTCAACATCGATATTTTCGCCGCGATAAATCGACAGATCGACTAAATCCACCGTTTTTATCGATCGAAGATATCGATACATTTTTCACTATCGAAAATTCATTCAATCAAAAATTCCTGGGGTAGTGTCTTGCCATTGGTTGAGTGACATAACCAATCACAATCGCTGCTGGTCGTCGTGGGAAAAACGCGAGTTGTCCCCCGGCTGTTAAATAAATCCCTTTATTATTTAGATGCACGGTTTATTTATTTAATTAAGTTATAATGCGTAAGCTACCGAGGATCTCACGATCCTTACGATCATTCACGACTCTAGACAGAGAGGAGAGACTGCAATGTGGTGATAATGACCTTGCTGGGAAGGAAATCGAGGAGGAAAGTCGTTCCAAGGGGTAACCTTATTGTCTCTTTCATTCCTGTTTATTGTTTCGGTATTTGATTGTTTATGGGGATTGGTTAATGACGGAGTTCTTGCAGGGACAGCGAGTGGGACGTGCTCTGCAGGAGGCTCCCTGGGGATGTCCAGGCTCGATTGTCAGAGGTACATCAGCTGGTCGGAATGTGCTGCAGTGAGTTGATTATGTCAAATTATCAGGTGGAATGGGAAATTTGACTCTTTACGGTTTTTAGGATTTTTTGTGAGAATCAGTGGGAGTTATTGGGAGGAGAATTGCGGGACTTTTCGGGCGAGGAATATTAATTTTTTAATTTCAGACGGCTTTCGATTAATTCTTGAGTGGTAATCAATTGTTGCATAAGTAATTGCAATTACTCGATCGAATTGGATCCTAGGAGTTTAGGGATTGAAGAGAATGGGGGAGAAAAGAGTCAATCTCCATTTTTTTTCATTTCGAAGGGATTTTTTGAGGCTTTAATGACCTGATTTATTCGAATCGTAGAATTTGATCAAGAATTTTTCATCATGAAGAATTTAATTGTACCTTAAAGAGTCATACAGGAGGTACTGTTCATCCTAAAATTATAATGAATTTGATATGAAGGAAAGTTTCATTTATTGAGAAACCTGAGACACTGATTTTTATTTATTTAATGGTTTTGTTTATATTTTAAGCAAGATTTTTAAACATGTTGATCAATGTTTTTATTATTTCCTTGTCAATTGATTATTTTGTATCAGAAAAGAACTGATTGTTCATAAAAAATACTAATTCATTGTTAAAAACAACGAATTCGCTCGAAACTTCTATTGGATTTCCATTAGTTTTTGCAACAGAAATGTTCAATGCAAAATATTCTAACAAAAAATCGATAGAGTTCGATATTTCTTCTGCTCTGCAAGAGCCTCCCTGGGGATGTCCAGGCTCGATTGTCAGAGGTACATCAGCTGGTCGGAATGTGCTGCAGTGAGTTGATTATGTCAAATTATCAGGTGGAATGGGAAATTTGACTCTTTACGGTTTTTAGGATTTTTTGTGAGAATCAGTGGGAGTTATTGGGAGGAGAATTGCGGGACTTTTCGGGCGAGGAATATTAATTTTTTAATTTCAGACGGCTTTCGATTAATTCTTGAGTGGTAATCAATTGTTGCATAAGTAATTGCAATTACTCGATCGAATTGGATCCTAGGAGTTTAGGGATTGAAGAGAATGGGGGAGAAAAGAGTCAATCTCCATTTTTTTTCATTTCGAAGGGATTTTTTGAGGCTTTAATGACCTGATTTATTCGAATCGTAGAATTTGATCAAGAATTTTTCATCATGAAGAATTTAATTGTACCTTAAAGAGTCATACAGGAGGTACTGTTCATCCTAAAATTATAATGAATTTGATATGAAGGAAAGTTTCATTTATTGAGAAACCTGAGACACTGATTTTTATTTATTTAATGGTTTTGTTTATATTTTAAGCAAGATTTTTAAACATGTTGATCAATGTTTTTATTATTTCCTTGTCAATTGATTATTTTGTATCAGAAAAGAACTGATTGTTCATAAAAAATACTAATTCATTGTTAAAAACAACGAATTCGCTCGAAACTTCTATTGGATTTCCATTAGTTTTTGCAACAGAAATGTTCAATGCAAAATATTCTAACAAAAAATCGATAGAGTTCGATATTTCTTCTGCTCTGCAAGAGCCTCCCTGGGGATGTCCAGGCTCGATTGTCAGAGGTACATCAGCTGGTCGGAATGTGCTGCAGTGAGTTGATTATGTCAAATTATCAGGTGGAATGGGAAATTTGACTCTTTACGGTTTTTAGGATTTTTTGTGAGAATCAGTGGGAGTTATTGGGAGGAGAATTGCGGGACTTTTCGGGCGAGGAATATTAATTTTTTAATTTCAGACGGCTTTCGATTAATTCTTGAGTGGTAATCAATTGTTGCATAAGTAATTGCAATTACTCGATCGAATTGGATCCTAGGAGTTTAGGGATTGAAGAGAATGGGGGAGAAAAGAGTCAATCTCCATTTTTTTTCATTTCGAAGGGATTTTTTGAGGCTTTAATGACCTGATTTATTCGAATCGTAGAATTTGATCAAGAATTTTTCATCATGAAGAATTTAATTGTACCTTAAAGAGTCATACAGGAGGTACTGTTCATCCTAAAATTATAATGAATTTGATATGAAGGAAAGTTTCATTTATTGAGAAACCTGAGACACTGATTTTTATTTATTTAATGGTTTTGTTTATATTTTAAGCAAGATTTTTAAACATGTTGATCAATGTTTTTATTATTTCCTTGTCAATTGATTATTTTGTATCAGAAAAGAACTGATTGTTCATAAAAAATACTAATTCATTGTTAAAAACAACGAATTCGCTCGAAACTTCTATTGGATTTCCATTAGTTTTTGCAACAGAAATGTTCAATGCAAAATATTCTAACAAAAAATCGATAGAGTTCGATATTTCTTCTGCTCTGCAAGAGCCTCCCTGGGGATGTCCAGGCTCGATTGTCAGAGGTACATCAGCTGGTCGGAATGTGCTGCAGTGAGTTGATTATGTCAAATTATCAGGTGGAATGGGAAATTTGACTCTTTACGGTTTTTAGGATTTTTTGTGAGAATCAGTGGGAGTTATTGGGAGGAGAATTGCGGGACTTTTCGGGCGAGGAATATTAATTTTTTAATTTCAGACGGCTTTCGATTAATTCTTGAGTGGTAATCAATTGTTGCATAAGTAATTGCAATTACTCGATCGAATTGGATCCTAGGAGTTTAGGGATTGAAGAGAATGGGGGAGAAAAGAGTCAATCTCCATTTTTTTTCATTTCGAAGGGATTTTTTGAGGCTTTAATGACCTGATTTATTCGAATCGTAGAATTTGATCAAGAATTTTTCATCATGAAGAATTTAATTGTACCTTAAAGAGTCATACAGGAGGTACTGTTCATCCTAAAATTATAATGAATTTGATATGAAGGAAAGTTTCATTTATTGAGAAACCTGAGACACTGATTTTTATTTATTTAATGGTTTTGTTTATATTTTAAGCAAGATTTTTAAACATGTTGATCAATGTTTTTATTATTTCCTTGTCAATTGATTATTTTGTATCAGAAAAGAACTGATTGTTCATAAAAAATACTAATTCATTGTTAAAAACAACGAATTCGCTCGAAACTTCTATTGGATTTCCATTAGTTTTTGCAACAGAAATGTTCAATGCAAAATATTCTAACAAAAAATCGATAGAGTTCGATATTTCTTCTGCTCTGCAAGAGCCTCCCTGGGGATGTCCAGGCTCGATTGTCAGAGGTACATCAGCTGGTCGGAATGTGCTGCAGTGAGTTGATTATGTCAAATTATCAGGTGGAATGGGAAATTTGACTCTTTACGGTTTTTAGGATTTTTTGTGAGGCATTTAAGAGGATTCAATGAATTCAATGAATTCCCTCAATCAATGAATTCCCTATATTTCCAGGTGACCTGTGTTCCAACTCCTCCGTAATCACGGACCAGCTGTCCCTGGACATCGTTCGTCGCCTGATGCCCCTGAAGAACCTGCCAACCAACAAGGATTTCCACCAGATAAACGCCCTCCTAGGTACTTCGGATGTAAAAACAGTTCGAAAAATAATGGACGCAGTATCTCTCATCCAATCGATGCTCACCGAGGACGAGCTGGCCCTCTTCGACGACTTCAGCGAGCCCTCCCTGAACCCCAAGGCCTTCGGTTCGAGGATCCCCTACACCCCAATGAGACGCTGTTCCCCCGAGGACATTCTTCTCCTCTCCAATATGACGCAGGCCGTCTCAATAACCGCCCCCAAGAGGTTCACAATGGTCTACACAGGTTCCCAGAAGGAACCCAACGAGTTCCACCACAAGGACTTCCTCAAGTACATCAAGGAGTCCCACAGGAGGTACTGTTCACTCAAAAATTTCTTGAATTATAATAAGTTTGATATGAAGGAGAGCTTCATTAATAAAATTCAATTTTTCTATACAGCTTATTCTATTGAGATATTTTCTATTCTATTTTCTATTCTATATTTTCTATCTCTATTAATTCCTCATCTGAAATTTTCTAAATTTTTTGTGATTCTTTTTTTTAAGGGGAGACGGAACCCCTTTGTCTACATCAAATCTTAGAATTGTGTTTTCTCCTACAATTATTAATTTCTATTTATGAAATTACTTTATCGACTCGATTATCGCATTGTTGAGTCAATGAAGTAGTTTAATGAATAAAAAATAATAATTGCAGGAGAAAACACAATTCTAAAGATTTATATAAACGCAGGGGTTCCGTTTCCCCTTAATGAAAAGAGGGGGAAAATAGAGTGGATATAATTTAGATAATTCATGTCGAAAAATTCGTATAGAAAATGACTCAATAGATAAAGTTGTGTCAATTTTGACTATTGACCAGTTTTCAATGAATATCTCGGAATCGAAGGGAGATCGCAAAATTTTTATTACAACCGTTTTTGTAGAGCCGATTGAGACCTACAAAAAATATGTGTTTGAGATGAGGATCTAATTTTAGGGGGGATGTGGGAGGTGTTGTTTCAGGATAGGCCGGAAATTAATTAAAGCACTGAATTATAAAATGTCACTATATTTTAGTGGAATCGAACCACTTCGTTAACCGTAAAATTTACATTTTGGTTTGAACTTGGTTGTTGAGCGTCTTGAATTATAATTACAGCGATTGATGTACTGAATTGTTAAATAACTGTTAATTGTCCTTGACAATTGTCTCTGATAATTCACTGAATTTGAGAAGGTGTTGTACTTCCACGTGATGCGCCGGTGATGTACTTTCAACGACACAACACGTTGACTCTACAAAGGCTGATGATGTACTGAATTTTGGGGTTTTCGCGATCGTTTGACCGCTCAACCGAAGATTCTTGGTGGTGCTCAAGGATTGTCGGTAGAACCGACCGTTTAACTAATAGATATATAGCTACGTTTCAGACAATATGATTATGAAAATTTCGCTATCTCCCTTAGATTCGGAAATATTCCTCAAAAACTCAACTGAGAGATAAGTCGACTTGAACCGTTTTACCACTTCGCTCCTGAATTTTTTCTCTCAGTGTAATTAAGCCTCTTACTATAATTAAAAAGACTCCTTGCATCGCAACAGGTACTCCACAGAGACGTCCTTCGAGCAGTTCTGTACGATGATCGAGAGTTGCCTGAAGAACTCCAGGACAAACGCCCAGGGAGACCTCTACGATCTCCTCGGTTGCGACCAACTGGACTTCATCAGCTACATCCTGAAGCACCGCGACAACGTCGAGAAGTTCTTCACAACCCAGAAGCAACTCTCGAAAGCTGGGGGACCCCTAAAACCCGAAAAACGCCCCGAATTGAGCTGCCAGGTGATCGTGCGGTCTCAAAAGGAGAAGGAGCTCTTGAAGCAAGTTAGGAAGGAAGAGAAGAAGTACCTGAAGGCCTCCAACAAGTTCGAGCAGAACGGCGAGGGCTCTGATGACGACTTTGACCCCTTGACTCTGAGACTAAAACGTCAACTGGCTCTACAAGCCTCGCAGGCACCGATCTTGGCGCCAGTGAAGCAGAGATTCCTCGCAGTGACGAGCACCACCGAAAAATATCCCTTCGTTTTCGACTGCCAGAAGGACTCCAAGAGAATTCCAGGGTTCGTCTCGGAACAGAAACTCATGCTCCCTGAAAACGTGACACGAAAGGACTCGCCACTGTATGAAGAGGTCCTGATACCAGTCTCCAGTAATGATCTTGACTTCACGTACACTCCAATAAAGATCTCCACACTAGATGAGATCGGCCAAATGGCGTTTTCAGGTCAGGAATAAGAAAATTCAGATTATTGTATCTTTGCTGGTTTATCACGCACAAAAATTTTCTAGAGAAAAACCTAGTGAATTCGGTGAAAGATTGTGTTGGAGTTCTGTTGAACTTCTATTGAAAATTCTATTAGGTTTTGGTCGATTCTATTGAAGAATTCTACTGCTCCTCTGCGCGTTTTTTTAATGAAAATGGCAGATAGGAATTGTTTTGAAATGTTCATTAAAAAATCTCCTACAGGAAAAGTCAATAGAATTCGATTATTCTGCATAACTTATTCTATTGAGATACGTTTTATAGAATTTCCTACGCTCAATATTTCTTTTCATTCTATTTTCTTTTTTTTCATCAAGAAAATCAAACCAAAAAAACTTGAAAAATTTGAGCCCAGGCAATTCTATAGAAAATATCTCAATAGAATAAGGTCTGTAAAAAAATCGAATTCTATTGACCTTTCTGTAAAATATTTTCTATTGAATACGTCAATAGAATCGGCCAAACACTATTAGAAAGCTCAAAAGAGATCTAACCGGAACATGGCCCAAAGAAATATTAATAATTTGAAAATATGGTCGAGAACGCATTCTACAAATTCATTAAAATTAGTGAAATAATATTGTCCACTGTGCGTTTTTTTAATGAAAATGACAGACAGGAATTGTTTTGAAATGTTCATTAAAAAATCTCCTACAGGAAAAGTCAATAGAATTCGATTATTCTGCATAACTTATTCTATTGAGATACGTTTTATAGAATTTCCTACGCTCAATATTTCTTTTCTTTCTATTTTCTTTTTTTTCATCAAGAAAATCAAACCAAAAAAACTTGAAAAATTTGAGCCCAGGCAATTCTTTAGAAAATATCTCAATAGAATAAGGTCTGTAAAAAAATCGAATTCTATTGACCTTTCTGTAAAATATTTTCTATTGAATACGTCAATAGAATCGGCCAAACACTAATAGAAAGCTCAAAAGAGATCTAACCGGAACATGGCCCAAAGAAATATTAATAATTTGAAAATATGGTCGAGAACGCATTCTACAAATTCATTAAAATTAGTGAAATAATATTGTCTGTCGGTGCTTGTTTCAGGAGTAAAAGAACTGAATAGAATCCAGTCGACAGTCTTCAACGCAGCTTACAACAGTGGCGAGAACCTCTTGATCTGTGCACCCACTGGTGCTGGAAAGACGAACGTTGCTCTTCTCTCAGTGGTCCATCAGCTGAAGCTCCACCTGGAGAACGGAATCCTGAAGAAGAACGAATTTAAAATCGTTTACATAGCCCCGATGAAGGCCCTGGCTGCGGAGATGACAGCTAGCTTCAACAAACGTCTTGGATGCCTGGGGGTCACAGTCAGGGAATTGACGGGGGACATGCAGCTGACTAAAACAGAGCTCCAGCAGACCCAGATGATCGTGACAACTCCAGAGAAGTGGGACGTCGTGACGAGAAAGGGGACTGGGGACATTGCTTTGACGAGCATTGTTAAACTCCTGATCATCGACGAGGTTCACCTGCTCCACGGGGACAGGGGTCCAGTCGTAGAGGCTTTGGTGGCGAGGACTTTGAGACAGGTTGAATCCACCCAGAGGATGATCAGGATCGTTGGGCTGTCAGCAACACTACCGAATTACGTAGATGTTGCTAGGTTCCTCAGGGTGAACCCCAGGAAAGGGCTCTTCTATTTTGATCACAGGTGAGAGAGGAGCTTTGTTATTTATAATAAGTCTGGTAATGTTGTATTACATTTTATTACATTAAATATCTTATCTTAAATGATTTTCTTTGTAAATTCTATTGGAATTCTACAATAATTCTATTCAGGGATGGCCATGAGTATTATAATATTATCAGGGATTTCTTCAATATTAAAAGGATTTTCGACTTACATTTATAAGGGTTTAAATCAGTAGCGAAGTCGTAAAACGGTACAAGTCAATTTTGACTATTGGTCAGTTTTCAATGAATATCTCGGAATCTAAGGGAGATAGCAAAATTTTTATCATAACCTTTTTTGTAGAGCTGATTGAGAGCTACGACAAATGTGATTACAAAAATTTCGCTATCTCCCTTAGATTCGGAAATATTCCTCAAACACCCAACTGGGAGATAAATCGACTTGAACCGTTTCGACCCTTCGCTATTGAAATATATTCATCAAAATTAAAAAATAGTATAATATTAATATTGTTGAATTTCCGATTGATGATGAATTAATTATTTGATAATATGGAACTGTAAATTTTCGATTAAGTAAATAATTCTAATTTCGTAAAACACATTTTCGATTAACCAAATAATCATCAATCTTCCTACCTAAATTATTGATTAATCAAATAATTCAGAATTTGAATATTTAAATTGATGATTACCTGAATCGTTAAAAATTTCAGAGTGATGTTAATCAATTGACGGCTTCAAAATTTAACGATAATTATGATTTATGAATATGGCTATCCCCGATTCTATTGGAGTTCTATTAGAATTTTATTAGAGAAGTTTACTTGATTCCTTTAAAAATTATATAACTTTCACGTGAGTTTTTCGATTGTAGAGATGTCGATTTTTAGGATTATTTCTTTCTTCTTATTCTTCTTATTATTTTTTTCTTCGATTTTATTGTATTTCGATAGGAAATATCGCAATAGATTAAGTTGTAGAAAAATTGAATTCTATTACTTTTTTTTATGGAAATTTCGCGACATGAATTTTTCTTTTTTTTTCTCCATGTTTTTTTCTCATTTTTATTTAAAAAATGAACCAAAAAACTCGAGAAATTCCAATAAAAAATATTTAAAAAACCAGTAGACAGTTCAACAGAAATCCAACATTATTGTCTACCGAATTCTCTACATTTTCCAACTAAATTTCTTCGCACATGGGATAACTTCCCAATTAAACAGTATAATTATAATCAAACTTATGCAAAACGACAATTACGTTCGCCTCCTCTCTTCATTCATTCAACTCGTTAAAATGAATCCGTCCCACAGGTTTCGTCCAGTCCCCCTCAGTCAAACGTTTATCGGAGTCAAGTCAACGAAACCGATGCAGCAAATTCAGGATATGGATCTTGTCTGCTATCAGCAGGTCGTGGACATGGTGAGGAAGGGGCACCAGGTGATGGTCTTCGTGCACGCCAGGAATGCCACTGTGAGGACTGCCACGAAGATCAAGGAGCTGGCGCAGCAGAATGACACCATCAAGCTGTTCAAGCCTGACGCCGATTCAAAGCTGACGCAGAAGGCCTTCACCAGCTCCAGGAACAAGTACCTGGGGGAGCTGTTCTCCTACGGGTTCTCAGTGCACCACGCAGGGATGCTCAGGTCGGACAGGAACATGGTGGAGAAGGCCTTCAGTCAGGGATCCATCAAGGTTCTAGTCTGCACTTCAACGCTTGCTTGGGGGGTCAATCTCCCTGCGCACGCTGTCATCATCAAGGGAACTGAGATCTACGACTCCAAACATGGCTCGTTCATCGATCTGGGGATTCTCGATGTTCTGCAGATATTCGGACGCGCGGGGAGACCGCAGTTTGACACCTCTGGACACGCTGTCATCATCACGTCACACAATAAGCTCTCGCATTACCTGTCGCTGCTGACTAATCAGTTCCCCATTGAGAGCAGCTTCATCACGTATCTGCCGGACAATCTCAATGCCGAGATCGCCTTGGGGACCATCTCCAATGTGGAGGAGGCTGTTGAGTGGCTCGGGTACACGTACCTGTTCGTGAGGATGAGGCTCAATCCCATTCCGTATGGAATGCTGTGTCAGGATGTTCTGGAGGATCCTAATCTGGACAAGAAACGAAGGCAGCTGATTGATACGGCTGCTAAGCACCTGGATAAGGCGAAGATGATTAGGTGTGTATATCACGGACGAAAACATTTAATAGAAAAACCTATCGAATTCGTTGGATAATTCTATGGAATTTCTATTGAACTGTTCTATTGGTTTTTGGCCGATTCTGTTGAAATGTTCAATGGAAAATATTCAGCAGAAAAAATCAATAGAATTCAATTTTTCTATATAACTTATTCTATTGAAATATTTCCTATAGAATTTCCTCGGCTCAAGTTTTTTCGTTTGATTTTCTTGATGAGAAGAAAAAAATTGAATGAAAAGAATAAGTTATAGAGAAAAATCGAATTCTGTCAACTTTTCTATTGAATTTTTTCTATTGAACATGTCAATAGAATCAGCCAAAAATTAATAGAAAGTTTAATAGAAATTCAATAACATTTTCTAACGAATTTGATAGGTTTTTCTATTAAATTTTTTCGTGCGTGATCCTTGTTGCTTCCGAATGGAAGCCTTGTTTTTGGCCGATTTTTCGATATTCTAATTTTGTTGCAGAGAAATAAAGGTAACGGGTTTTTGTCTGAGGCGGACCTCAAAATCTGAGGTCCAAACGTCGATAAAAGTTCATATCTTCTGTCATTCAAAATTTTATAGAAAAAACTAGCGCTTTCTCTAAAAAATTCTATTGAATTTCTATTAGGGCTCGGTAAGAATTCTCTTAAAGTTTTATTAGAATTCTATTGAAAAACGCTAGGTTTTTCTGTTAAATTTTTCCCTACGTATTTCCAAAAATAGCCATATCCATAAATTATAATCACCGTTAAATTATTAAATAGTCAATTCGTTACTATCACTCTTAAATTTTAATTATTGAAGTAATCATCAATGTAAATATTCAAATTCCGAACTATTCATTAATCAGTAATTTAGTTAGGAAGATTGACGAGTATTTGGATAATCGAAAATTCCTGATAAGAAATTTAGTATTATTTACTTAATTAAAAATTTAGAGTTCAATATTATTAAATATTTAATTCATCATCAATTCGAAATTTAGATTATCAATTATTTTATTATTTTTTAATCTCGATTAGTATATTTAAACCTTAATCAATGTTACTCGAACATTCTTTTAATATTGAAGAATTAGAAATTCTACGGGGATTCTATTAAAACTCCGGGTAATTTTCGTTAAAATTCTATTTGTTTTTTACGCACATTCTATTAGATATTTGATACAAAAAAGTTCATAGATTTCGATTTTTCGGTTTGAATATTTCTCTTGAGATTTTTACTATCAAAAATAAGTGGGCGCGGATTTTCTAAGTTTTTTCCACTATATTTTGTTTTGTTTCCTACTACAGGATCCGAGTGAAAAAAACTTGGAAAATTCATGCCCAAGTATTCTTATAGAAAAAAATTCAAGAGAATATTCACATAGAAAAATCGAAATCTATTGGCTTTTTCTTGTAAAATATCTCATAGAATCAGCACAAAAAAACAAATTTCAACGAGAATTCCCTAGAATTTTAGTGGAGTCCCACAGAATTTCTAGCGAACTCGCTTTTTCCATTCAATTTTCAATTTTTAGACCAATCGATTCCCCGTTATTAATACCAACATCTTTAATGAAATTTTCTAACAAAACATTTCCTTTCCCCCACCAGATACAACTCCCGCACCGGAGACCTGAGTTCAACAGACCTCGGAAGGACCTCCAGCCACTTCTACCTGAAATACGACACAGTCGAGATCTTCAACGAGCTGAGCAAGCCTATAATGACCGAGACGGAGATCCTGGGCATGCTGTGTCGAGCCCAAGAGTTCCAACAACTAAAAGTCCGCGACGACGAGATGCAAGAGCTGGACGAATTAACCAAAGAGTACTGTGAACTAGTGGTTCACGGTGGAGCCGAGAACATCCACGGAAAAGTGAACATCCTCATCCAGACGTACCTCTCAAGAGGAAAGCTCACCAGTTTCTCCCTCATCTCAGACCAGGCCTACATAATCCAGAACGCCTTGAGGATCTCCCGAGCCCTCTTCGAAGTGATGCTGAGGAAGAACTACGCGACCATGGCTGCGAGACTCCTGAACATCGCGAAGATGCTGGAGGCACAGCAGTGGGACCACGTGACCCCCCTAAGGCAGTACTTCTGCTTGGGCCCGGAGATAATCCAGAAGATGAACGACAGACAGTTGACGATAAATCGCTTGAAGGAGATGGACGTCAGAGAAATTGGCGATTACCTCAGGAATCAGAGGTCAGCAGCTCTCGTGAAGAAATGCTGCAGTGAATTTCCCTCGATTGAGCTGGAGGCCTGCATCCAACCCATCACCAGAACAGTATTGAGGATAAAACTGAGACTGAAGCCGGAGTTCAGATGGAACGACTCAGTCCATGGCAAGAGCTCCGAGGCCTTCTGGATCTGGATAGAGGACACTGACACTGACTATATCTACCACCACGAGTACTTCCTCCTGACGAAGAAGATGGTGCTCAGTGGAGAAGGGCAGGAGCTGGTGATGACGATTCCACTGCCAGAGCCCCATCCCACCCAGTACATTGTCAAGGCCATCAGCGATCGTTGGCTGGGCTGCGAGCAGCTCCTGGCACTTAACCCTCAAGATCTGGTGCTGCCAGAGACTCATCCCCCTCACACGGACCTCCTGGAGCTCCAGCCACTGCCAGTGGCAGCACTGAGGGATCCTGGCTTCGAGAAACTCTACAACTTCACTCACTTCAATCCTATTCAGACACAGATATTCCACTGCCTTTATCACACTGATAATAATGTCCTGCTGGGGGCGCCCACAGGATCTGGAAAGACCATTGCTGCTGAGGTAGCCATGTTCAGAGTGTTCAAGCAATATCCAGACAGGAAAGTCGTTTACATAGCTCCACTGAAGGCCCTCGTTCGCGAGAGGATGAAGGACTGGACGATTCGACTCGAGGAGAAGCTGAAGAAGAGAGTTGTTGAGCTGACTGGAGATGTCACTCCGGACATCAGGCAGATTGCCAAGGCAGATGTCATTGTGACGACTCCGGAGAAGTGGGATGGCATCAGCAGGAGTTGGCAGACGAGGAACTACGTGAAGAAGGTGGCCTTGATCATCATCGATGAGATTCATCTGCTGGGGGAGGACAGGGGACCGGTTCTCGAGGTGATCGTCTCCAGGACCAACTTCATAGCTTCACATACGGAGAGGACTCTCAGGATCGTTGGGCTGTCCACGGCTCTGGCGAATGCTATCGATCTCGCCAGTTGGCTCAACATCGACAAGATGGGATTGTACAATTTCAGGTGGGGAGAGATAGATAGTATGTTGATTGAATTAGAGGGAAATTTTTATATTTGAAATCGGGGAATCAACTTCAGAAGTAATTTTCACTGGTTTATTCATTAGAAATCAGGTTAAGAAAGTTTGAATGTAGATTCGTGGTTTTATCAGTCGGTGATGATTTTTAACGGATTTACCATTACCGTTTAATAATGACCAATTTACCGCTTTTGGCGATTCTGTTGAGGAATTCCGCAGTTTTACCGCCCGTTTTTTTAATTGAAAATGCCCAATGGTAAATATTTTATCGAAAAAATCAGTCGAAGTCCATCGTTCTTTTTTTTTCTATTAGGTAATTTTGAGTAGAAATTTTCCGAAATGAATTTTCCATGCTTTTTTCATTCGATTTTTCTTCCCTTATCATTAATAAAATCAAATAAAATAATGCTTCCCTTCGGAAGCAAAAACAGAAAATTCGAGTCAAAGAATTTCTACAGAAAATATCTCAATAGAATAAGCTACATAAAATATCGGATTTTATCAATTTCTCAAGTTCCCAAGTTTTTTCTACTCCATGTTTCCTCTCTTTTCTTTAAAAAAAAAATAAACGAAAAAACTGAGGAATTTCTATTGAAAATATCCCAAGTTGTATAGAAAAATCGAATTCTATTGATTTTTCCTGTAGAATATTCTCCATTGAACATTTTTATTCAGAAAAAACTCGGCCCAACACTGATAGAAAATTCAGTAGAAATCCACCAGAATTTTTTAGCGAATTCGCTATTTAGATTTGCAACTTTTTTCCACTCTATTTTTTCTCTTCTTTAAAAAAAATCAAACTAAAAACATTTTAAAAATTGAGCCAACGAATTCACACACAATATCTTTCATTAAACATTTCTATGACTCTTGAACTTATCGATAAAATCGAAAGAATGAAAAACGCCCGTAAAAGTTGCGTATTTTCTAATAGAGTTGATGCAAGAAACAAATATAATTTTCTAATAGAACTCCAATAGGATTCTTATAGTATTTTCGTGTGTAATACCACAAGAGCTTCAAAATTATCAGTTATTTTCCGATCGGTTCGTTGCAAAAACACGAAGAAGTCAAGTTTTTCCTGAAAAACATGACAAGTTCGTTTGTATGTAGGAAACCTCGAGGAAAATACCTAATTAATTTTGAAGCCCGGATGGTAGTCTATTCGAAAGACAATTTTTCCGTCCAAATTTCGGCCAAGAGAATTGCGCTACGAGACAAAATTCACCTGTCAGTTCCAACGAGAAACTACTCGACCAGGAAATCTTTTGTTTCTCATCCATATATCAACATGAAAAACTACCAGTGGAATTATAAAAAATTATCAGTGGAATACCGTGTTGACTACATAAAATAACAGTCGAATAGTGCAATTCCATTGGCTGAAATTTGTATGGGAAAAATTCTCCATCAAATTCATGAATGCAGTCGAATTTTCCACCATAAACCAATGCTGAATTTCGATCCCTGATTCCAGGCCTTCGGTGCGGCCTGTTCCCCTGGAGGTTCACATCAGTGGCTTCCCGGGCAAGCACTACTGCCCCAGGATGGCGACCATGAACCGTCCAACGTTCCAAGCGATCAGGCAGCACGCGCCATCAAGTCCCTCCCTGGTGTTCGTGTCCTCCCGAAGGCAGACGAGACTGACAGCCCTGGACCTCATAGCCTACCTCGCTGCTGAGGACAACCCCAAGCAATGGTTGCACATGCCAGACGAGGAGATGGACAACATCGTGGTGAACATTAAGGACGTGAACCTGAAGCTGACCCTAGCCTTCGGCATTGGCCTCCACCACGCAGGGCTCCAGGACAAGGATCGTCAGACTGTCGAGGAACTATTCGTCAACAACAAGATTCAAGTGCTGATAACAACAGCCACTCTAGCCTGGGGTGTGAATTTCCCAGCGCACTTGGTGGTGATCAAAGGAACCGAGTATTACGACGGAAAGACGAAGAGATACGTCGACATGCCCATCACCGATGTCCTCCAGATGATGGGAAGGGCCGGGCGACCCCAGTTCGACGACTCCGGCGTTGCTGTTGTCCTCGTCCACGACATCAGAAAGAACTTCTACAAGAAATTTCTGTACGAGCCATTCCCCGTGGAGTCCAGTCTGCTGGAGGTTCTCCCTGATCACATCAACGCTGAGATCGTGGCAGGGACGATTGCCTCGAAGCAGCAATTCCTGGATTACCTCACGTGGACGTATTTCTTCAGAAGATTGATGAAGAATCCACAGTATTACGCCTTGAGCGAGCTGGAGCCAGCGAGTGTCAACCAGTATCTCTCTCATCTCGTCGATGGGACGTTGGTAGTTCTGACTGAGTCACAGTGTGTGGCTTACGAGGACGAGGATCAGAGCCTCTGTCCCCTGCCCCTGGGGAGAATAGCCTCCTACTATTACCTCTCACACCAGACGATCAAGTACTTCAGTGAGGAATTGAGGGACAATCTGGGGCTGGTGGACTGCCTGAGGATCCTGTGCAACGCTCACGAGTACAGTGAGCTTCCTGTCAGGCACAATGAGGACATTCTGAATGAGGAGTTGGCCAAGAGGTGCAGGTACCCTGGGGAGCCACAGACATACGATTCCCCCAATACCAAGGCTTTCCTCCTATTTCAGTGCCACTTTTCAAGGACCACTCTTCCCTCAACTGATTATACCACTGATCTCAAGTCTATTCTGGATCAGGCGATCAGGATTCTTCAGGCTATGATTGATATCGTGGCTGAGGGGGGCTGGTTGTCCAGTACTTTGAGGATTATGCAGCTGCTGCAGATGATTATCCAGGCCAGGTGGATCGACGAGTCTGCTCTGCTGACACTGCCACATGTGGAGAGGGAGAACCTGAGGGTTTTTCAGAAACTGCCAAGGGCCTTGCCAGCTTTCTGTGCCATTGCTAGTTCTAATGAGAGGAGGATACAGGGGGCGCTGAGGGAGGAGTTCCAGGATCAGGAGATTGGGGAGATCCTGCAAGTGGCCAAGACCCTGCCCATGGTGGTCGTTGGGCTGAGCCTGCAGGGGGGCGACGGGGACGAGGTGAGGGCTATTGACGTGGTGAGGAGGGGGGAAGACTGCCTGGAGGTACGGGCCAGTGGGGAGTACACGTTGTTGATTGAGCTGAGGAGGTGCAATCCCAGTGGCGCGAGGGTTCACAGCCCCAAGTTCTTGAAGGAGAAGGGGGAGGGCTGGTTCGTGGTCATTGGAGATGTCAAGGGGAGGGAGGTGTGGGCGATGAAGAGGATAGCTGGGGTCGGACCGGTGGGCAGGACTCATCAGCTGCAGTTCACAGCTCCAGAGTTTCCAGGTAATCGACATAAGGGCTTCCGGCCCTTTGGCCCCGGGTGGAAATTCAAATTTTTTATTTTGACATATCTGGCGCCTCGGAGTGTTTCGTTGACCTCAGAATCGTTAGTAAATACGGAATCAACGTTCACTTGGCGTAAAAATTCGATTTTGCCCAAGTCGACTTTCGGCCTGGAAAAATTCAAATACTCCCCCCCTCCCCCAATTTTAGTGAATTAAAATACGAGTGAGTGAATGTATTTACAATTTGTTTATTTGAAAAACAGGATAATCACAGTGTGAATTTAACCATTCCAGGGAAAACACAGTTAACATTCTACCTGATGTCGGATTCTTACATTGGTATGGACCAGCAGTATGACATCCCAATGAACGTAACAACTTGAAGCACGAATGTTGATTTGTGTTTTGCACTTAAATCAATTGCATAAATGTAATATAAATAAAACAAATCATTTATACTCTTTATGTTGACAAATTGTGGAGTAAATTTGTATTGAAGCATCGTCAGAAATTTTATTCCAGTTTCAAGAGTTTCCTATTCTGATGCCAAGAGACTTGATCATTAAAATATAAAGTCAGAAGGACCAATAGATCATTTGAATGAATTACAAAAATATGATATAAACAAAAATGCATTATTTATACTCCTTTCGTTGATAAATTGTACAATGGATTTATATTCAGTGAGTCCAGAAAATGGGTCAGATGACTCTGATACCCACTGCTAGCTAATTTCTCAACAACATGAGCAGGATAGGTCCTCAGGTCGCAGAAGGCCTCGTACATCTGCTCCAACTTTGAATAATTTGAAATGGTATAACCATTAGCCCCCTTGTGCCACTCGTGAGACCTCAGACAATTATGAAACTTCAGTATAATCTTAAAGATGTTGCAGAGGCACTGACGAAGCTTCTCAGCCTTCGACGTCAACATGCACCTCGACAGTATCTTCTTGATATAACTGACATGAGTCGAGTAGATCTCGTCCAGAGTCGTGGCATTCTCCAGCTCTTTCTCGAACTCAGTCCAACTGGCATGGAGAACACTGCAGGTGAGATAATTGCTGAATGCAATCATGAACTGCATCATTGCGTGCCGAAAGAGCTGGAGCCTGTGGTACTGGGGTGACAATGCTGCCTTCCTCTCCACCTTCAAGATGCAGAAGTCCTCCTGAAGTACCCAGAGAACTCTCCCCACCATCAACAAGAACTTGAAGACCTTGCTGTACTGCTGCATCAGCATCTCATCGAAAATAATATTCAGAGGCCATGAGACTTTATAATTCAGACACAAGCAGTCGAGTGCCTCTGGGTCTGACACAGTCAGCAGACTGGGTGTATCAATAGCAGACAAACTCAACAACTCAGCATTCTCGTACGAATAATTCAGGGAACTATGCAGAGCGTTCTCCAGCAAATTCGTAAGAGTAGCAGAATTAAACAATTCAATAGGCAAACTAATCTCGTAAAACTTGGTGAAGACAGCGCCAGTGAGATTCCTCGCGAATTCCCCATTGAGCAGAAAAAAGAAGCTCCTGAGACTCTGCAGATGCGAAAGAATTTTATGCTCCTCAATAAGACACTTGATAACCGCCGAATTCGCCAGTTTACTCTGAACCATCAACGGAATCATCACCGACTTCTCAAGATAAATTTGCAACGAAGTGTTGTCAATCAACTCGACATCAGCCATCGTCAGGGAAGACTCAAAGTTCACAGGGCCATTGTCAGCCCCAAATCCACTGAAGAACGACTGACTCTCTGGGAGATTCTGCTTATCGGACTTTGGTAAATGGCCCTCAGGGCTCATTGGCGTCTCGAAATCGTTCTTGGAACCCGCCAGGGATCCCACTTCCAGGCAATTGTAGAATAACGATGAGCTTACTGACTGGTGATAGCTGTCGGTGGTGCAGGACATGGGTGTCGCATCGTTCAGGTCATTGAGCCCCCCCTGAGAAATTGCTAATTGATTATCAATAATCTCCTTTCGATTTTCGTTGCCATCAAGAGCATCGATTTTATCCGATGGATTGTCTTCTCTAATATCATCAAGATTGATGTTCAGGTTGACTCTGGTCGTGCCAATTGTCCTCTCGTTCCCCTCCTCATCGAGAAGCACGTTATCCTCACTAGTTCCTCCCAGAGTGTCTCCTAAGCCATCCCTGCAGGCGATCTCTGTTCTTGAACCCATCAACAATCGATTATTCTCAGAGATTTCCTCCAGAATGGCTTCAGTGGTCATCGACTCCAAGCCCATATTCGTTGATTTGGAATCGTTACTAGAGGTTTTTTCCTTTAGGGACAGATCAGTAGGTCTTGGAGTTCGTGTAGACGTCTCCTGAACACTAGAAACTGTCCTCTGACTCGTTGAATCACTGGAATTGCTGTTCTCATCCTTCCTGTCAGACACGTCTGGAAGACTCTCGAGCCCCTCAGGATCGTTATCCATTTTATCTCTGGATTCATCATCTGGCCCAGGGACAACTGACGACTCTTCATGTCTCGTAGCAACGATCAACTCCACTCTCTCCTCGAACAACGCCATCCTCTTGGCCCTCCACGAAGCCCGGAGCTTCCTCTTCTTCGCCTCCTCAGCGAGCTCCTTGTAATAATCAGCAGTCACTTTGGCCTCTGCCAGCAGAACCTTCTTCTCCTCCTCCTCCTCAGCAGCATGCTTCTCCATCTCCAGCTTCTCCTCGAGTATCTTCGCCTCGCGAGCCTTCTCCTTCCTCGAAACCGCCTCCTCAGCCTGGTTCTTCAGATTCGCCAGGAGTTCTCTCTTATTCTTAGCTACCAACAGCCTGGCCTCCTCCTGACCCCTCTTGATTCGTTGGAGGGCACCTGCCTGCGCTGCGATCACCACGTCAGCTTTAGTTTTCTCCATTACCTAATAATTGAGAGATAAATTGGTGAAATCTATTCGTGATAATTATTTGTAAATTTGAAAACTTTAGGCATGAAAAACATTTATAGAAAAAACTAGCGAATTCCATTGAATTTCTAGGAGAAATGCTGATTTTATTGGAGAATTCCGCAGTTAACTGCACTTTTGTTGTAGAACATGTCCAATAGAAACTGATTTATAAAAGAAATGGCGGAATTTTATATTTCTATATAACTTTTTCTAAGGGAATTCTTCGAAATGAATTTTCCAAGTGTTTTCTACTCTATTTTCTTCTATTATTCATTAAAATTAGGCTTTATCAACCTTTATTAACACATTCCTCAATTTGAGGAATGTTTTTTCAATCTCTAAAAGGAATTATTCATCAATAAAATTAAGCAAAAAAACAGAAAATTTGAGCGGAGGAATTTCTATAGAAAATACTTCAATAGAATAAGTTGTATAAAAGAATCGGATTCTATTAATTTTTCTATGAAATATTTTCGATTGAATATTAAACTGAAATCACTTGGAAAATTGATGCCTAAAAATTTGTATAGAAAAATCTAAATCTATTGATTTTTTGTGTCGAATGTTTTAACAAAAAGATAGGGTACAATTGCATAATCTTTAATGGAATTGATGCAAAAACAAATGAAGTTTTTGACAGAATTTCAATAGAACTCCAATAGGATTCTTCGAGACTCTCAAATGTCCGATAGAAACTATTTCATAAACAAAATCAATAGAATTTCATTTTTTCTACACAAGTTTTTTTATTGAGACATTTTCCATAGGAATTCCTTGGCATGAATTTTTCATAAAAACATCACACACGAAAAAATTCCATTAAAAAACCCAACGAATTCGATAGAAAATTCTATTGAATTTCTATTGAAAAATTTTGCAGCTTTAATGGGCGTTTTGTTATAAAAAAAATCAAATAGAAACTATTTCCTATTTTTTATAGAAAAATTCAGTAAAATTCAATCTTTCCACACAAATTTTGCTACTGAGCCATTTTCCACAGGAATTCCTTGACATCAATTTTCCATTTTTTTACCCGGTTTTTAATCTTCTTTCATTGAAAAATCAAACAAAAGAAAAAATTGACCCGAGGAATTTCTGCCGAAAACATCTCCTCATCGAAAATATCTCAACATTTTCCCATTGAACATTTCTACTGCAAAGAACGCACAAATACGCTGCACAATTTTAAAATAGAATCGGCCAAGGACTGACAGAAAATTCCCCAGAAATCCAATAGAATTTTCCAGTGAATTCGCTAGGTTTTCCTTCGAAATTTTTTCATACGTCTGAGGGAATGACGCATATTCTAGCACAGAAATAAATTCCTTCAATCAACTAATCACCCTCATCTGCTGCAAAGAAGTGCTCAGGGTGACGTTCCCCAGGATCTCGATGCCCCTGCTCATGTACTCCTGGCAAATTTCCTCCTGCTCGGACAGCATGTTCACATTCAGACAGACTTTCACCAGTGGATGATAGTTGGAGAAGAGATTGCACATGGGGTTCTTGGGATCGCAAATCTTCAGGAGTCTCACTGCCTTTCCACACTGGAGGATGGAGTCAGTCAGGTCCTTGAGGAATCCTGGGACTGACTCCTTGTTAATTCCGTAGCATTTCGACCAGAATTTATGCCCTCGAGTCCTCAGGTACTGAATTCTGATGTTGATCATGAATTCTCCGTGCGTCTCGTCGCATCTCCCCTCGAAGATCCACTTCTCCAGGTACTCGAAGTAAACCTCACAGCAGGATTTCAGGACAGAGTAGTAGACGAGGGCGATGTTGGGCTTTGTTATCTTGGTGACTTGCTTGTAGATGTGGGAGAGGAGACCTATTCCCTCACCGATGATGGTTCTTCGGACGTTGTCGCACCTGCAGAGTCTGGCAACCTCGGAGATGAGGCAGCCAATGGGCCCCAGCTGGTGGAGGAGGGACAGCAGCTGGGGGGAATCGTCCCCAAAGACCTGGAGGATGACTGCCTGGTAGTGAATTAAAATCTCGTCGATGTTTGTGCACATGGCCTTGAAGATCAGGCCCTCCTCTCGTAGCTTTCCGTTTGAGTCCGGCCCTGGCCGGATCAGGAGGCTCAGGAGCTTGAAGCAGGTGCCCCAGTGGGTGATTTCGTTGGTAATGTCCTTCAGGGATTCGTTGCTCAAGAGGGGGACTGTTGTATTGGATTTGAAGATGAATCTGTAGGCATTTGGAGAGTCATTCAGTGGTATAGGAGAGAATGGAGAAGTCTACTGATTTTTATCGGATTTTCCATTAGTTTTTGGTTGATTTTATTTGAAAAATCTGTAGAATTCGATTTTTCTATGCAAATTATTTTGTTTAGATGTTTTTTATAGAAATTCCTAGGCTCACGTTTTTTGAGGCTCTTGGTTGATTTTTTTTAAGGACAGAGGAGAACACAGAGTGAAAAAAACGTGGAAAATTCATGTCAAGGAATTTCTGTGGAAAGTGTCTCAATAGAAAAATTAGTATAGAACGATGAAATTCGACTTATCTAAATAAAACATCTTCTGGTGGACACTTTACATTAATAAAAAATGCACATTTAAGCTATGGAATTCCTCAATAAAATGGGACGAGAAATGTGCAATCGAAAATATTCTGTAGGAATTCCTCAGCTCCAATTATCCAAGTTATATTGTTTGAGGAAACAAATGAAAAAAGGATGATAAATTGAGTGGAAAAAAATTCGAAAATTCATGTCGAGGAATTCTTACAGAAAACATCTCTATAAAAAAAATTGTCCAGAAAGATGAAATTGTACTGTTTTTTTGAATAATCTTCGGATGGAAATTTTCTACTAAATTGGAATCTTTAAAATAGTGGGGCAAAATGAAACTGTGGAAAACGACTGTTTGGCGCAATTTAAGGAAACCAAAATTTTTTTATCAACTTTTTTTTAAAATTAACTTTTGTTCGTAAATTTGTCTTCATTATTGGGAGTACTGATGAGAATAATAATTTTCCATTCGGTAGAATGGAAAATTATTGAAAAGTTTTGAGGGAAGAAGCTATTGTCAATGGATTAATTAAAAAGAAAATGGAACAGCAAAATCCAAAATCCAGAGAAAGGCCCAGGGGGAGACCCAGAGGGGAAAAATGGAAAATGTGATGCTGAATTTCAATCGAATGAAAAAAGGAAAGCGTAATCACCCTAATCTAATCAATTGAATTATAGATGAAATATTTCATATTACTTGAAAAGAGAATTGTGGATAAAATTAGTGAAAATTATAAATATTGTCGTCTCGACATAAGAAATATATGAAAAACCTTCGGGAGTTTCGAATGAGGAGAGAACATAGACTCAGCGATGACGAGGTCTTAGTTTGGCTGCTGGAGTCAGGGGACAAGCTGACTAGTGGACGTTGAAATCGAGATCTAACAGGGGAGTGGGATTCATCTGTGAAGGGAGTCGCTACCCTATACAGGGGTTTTGAACAGTGATTTTTTCGCATCGCATGTTCTTTTCTACCGACTAGAAAATTATTATTCTCATCAAAATTATACTCCCCACAATAACAAAAATTAATAAACAAAAGTTGATGAAACCAATTTTTTTCCGCTTGAATTGCGTAAAAGTCGTTTTTCCGTTGTTTTATTTTGCCCCGCTCTCCCCTACTTGGCTATCCTTAACAACGTTTTCCGTACACTGGGAAAAAAAAATTACTTTTGCCAGGGAATCATTTTCTTGGGAGAAGAATTTATTTTTTTAGGAGCTTATTTCTCTAGGCCAGTCATTCCCAGATGGTCCATGTCCATCTCTAAATATTCCAATTACGTTGAATAATGAGATGATTATGCTACATACGACCTTGAATGAACACGCTTCATTATTTTTCAATTTTTTCAAATTCGAGGTTTTCTAACGTATAATAATTTGAAATAATTTTAAAGGTTAATAATTGTCAATGGAGTTCATTCAAGGTCATATGTAATATAATCATTCCATAATTGAACATAATTGTAATATTTAGAGATGGACTTGGACTCCTTGACAATGACTGGCCTGGAGAAATACGTTCCGCAAAAAATAAATTCTTCTCCCAAGAAAATGATTCCTTGGCAAAAGTAATTTTTTCTCAGTGTACTTTTTACATAATTTCGAGATCGATTTCCTTTCTCCTTTTTACGATAGGATTCCATAAACCCCCTGTCAGAAATAAAAATCTCACTACGAACCCGAGTTTGCTGTTCCAGCGGAAGACGTCAGACTCAATCCCCAGGAGTACTAGTTTCACTGTCTCTAGAAATTCTTTCGGTGTGAGGTTGACGTCTGGGGTCTTCAGGGGTTCTTCGGAGGTTTCTGGGTAGAACGACCACTGCCGGAAGTTCTGGAGGTGGTGGAGGGCTGCGTCAGACTCCAGGATGAAGGTGGAGGGGTGAGGGGGGTCTGGATTTCCCAGATTCTCCCAGGATCGGGACTGGGAGGGCTCTGGGGGGCAGGATAGGCTCCAAGGGATGTTCAGGGAGGCTGAGGGGTGAGAGGGGGTGGGTGGGGATGAGGCAGGGGGGATGTGATCCCAGAAGGGGTGCTCGGAGGGGTCCTCCTGGACTAGGTAGCAGTTGCTGGCCATGAGCATTGGGGTGGTGGGGGTGAGATCAGAGAGCTTCGAGAGGTCGTGGGTGGAGAGGTCCAGGTGACCTGGGGGGAAACTGAAGGGGGGGTCCATGGGGAGGTCCGAGAAGGTCAGGAGAGGGTTCGAGGGGGTGGTGATGTTGTAGGGGAGGTGGAAGACTGACGAGGGGTAGGTCTGGTACTCGGGGGTGCTCTTCGTGGTGCGAGGCTCGGGGAGGATGGGGTTCTGCTCACCGAAGTGGAAAATGTTCTGAAATCGGAGAGGGAGGTTTTTGATTAGGTGAAGAGAAAGTGGCAGCCGAAAAAAAAGTGGGAAATTGCTTTGTATTGCATATAGTATAGTTATTTTTGCTAATAAATTAGGAATTTGCTTCCGAATGGTTATTTTGCACATCATTTCTTTCTGTCATGTATAATCCATTGTTTATTTCATTTTATTAAATTGAATGAGATTTACTTTTCCCTAATTTCGTCAGATTTTTATGTAGTTGAAATCTAAGTTGAAAGGTACTTCTTACGAAATGAAAAACGAAAAAATCTTCAGACAACTAAAACCTCACCAAGTCATTCCTCTCAGCAGTTCCATAAGCCTTCATGCAATTGAGAAACTGTAATACTGTGTCAAGTGAGCCACTGATCTCCCCCGAATCCTGCAAGAGGTCATCAAGAGCCTCCTCGAGTTTGGCAGCCCTCGAGGCATGTCCAAACGTGCACCTGAGGACGAAGGCGTGCTTCAGGAGCTCTGCCGAGGGATCGAGGGCCTCATTTTGTTGGTTATCTGCAATTCAACTCCCACAAATCATCAAATCCTCCCGGATAAATCGACCCAACTCACCATTATTGTCGCTCGAACAAGGCTGGCTCCTCAGGAGCACTTCGAAGGTCCTCGTTCGCATTTTCTTGAGGATTTTCTCACGCTTATTGGCATAATTGTCTCGTGGACCATCGCCCAGGATGCCAGCGCACAGATCCGTCACGAGACCGTAGAAATCCGAATTGTCAGCCCTCAGATCCATTTTTTATCGTTACTTCAGGCACTCACTCGACATTTTAAACACTGAATCATGGTTTTTCCGGCGTTTTTGATTGGAGATAAAGTTATTGAACGACGACTGCAGGTGAACGGCTGTTTGTAAATACTAGAGGCCTCTGCGCAGCCTCTCCACGCCGGTCATATCGGTCTGACCAATTGGGGCCCGAGGATTCAGTCGACTGGGCGGGGATTGGTGGACATTGCTGCATCTAACCCCTTTTGCTCGGCTGCTGTCAACAAACTGTCATCATGGGGTGCGTTGGAGAGGACAATCGCACATTTCGGAGTGAGAAAATTATTTTTGCTGGGGTTCTTTTTTTTGAGGGGATACGTCGGTGAAATTGTAGTCTTCACTAAGCTTTGGGACCCATTGGACCCATCAACTAGGGAAAATCACGGACCCGATCGATTTTGCCCCGTATAACCACGAAAAACTTGATTTTTTCCTGCTTTTACCTTCAAAATGCTCCTTGCGCCCTAGTTTTCATACGATTTTAGATTTTTTGGTTCCGAATGGCAGCATTGCAATCCTTCGATTTTCACATTCTCTAATTTTGATTGGAAATTATGCAAAATGGTTTGAAACGTAAAAATACGAAGCTTGGCGACCATGTCTGGGGAGCAATTTTGCTCGTTTTATGTCGACATAAAATCGTGAATTTAATGAAAAAATATAAGACATCACTCAGTCACATGCTCACTGTCAAATGGCGCGCTGTCATCTGTCCGCTGTCCCCTGCTTGTTTTTTAAATGTCCGTTACACTCCAAAGAACGAAGTTAAGCATCCGTTTTACTTTATTCGCAATAGGTCACGAATTAGTGAATTTTGAATTTCATAATTTTTCCTCGTCTCTAAAGTAGAACTAAAAACTTATTGGTTTTAGTAATCGATTTTTTTTTTAAGCCGCCGTTTCGCGTCCACCGGCCATTTTTTGTTCATAAAAATTAGATTAGGCATGATTACAATGTTCAATTACTAAAAACACTGATTTTGTTTAAACTGAAGAAAAATCTTTCTGTTCGCCTTAAAAAAGACGAATAATCCTTGTTGTTTTCTTAATCTATAAATACATTCGCGAAGCAGTATTTCCGCGCGGAACGCAAAAAAGTCCATTCAGAAAGACGAAAACTCAAATTAAATCTCAAAACTCATCAGGAGACGATATTTCTATCTCCAAAAAACTAGAACCCAATTTTCTCTATCCCTCGGGACCAATTTTTCCTACAAAACAGGGGATGAAAAAAACTTGTTTACTTTTTTTCCCCACCAACTATTGACAACAATGAAGCCGATGTACTGACTAGCGCAGTCTCTTCAAAATCATCCTGTTCATGTGCCCACAACACAGAGACGACTGTCCGTGGAATGTGACTTGACGTAGCCGGTGTCGGTGTCCTGTTCGTGGATGCCAGAATGTCAACTGCATACCACCAACTGCGTCCAAAAACGGTGAGCATTTTCGACTGATATATTTTCCCCTCAATCGACCCTCAAAACAGGGGATCAAACCCCACTGGGAGTTGTCTCATGGTCCCCCGAATTCCAACAATAAGAAACAACGTTGATCAAAATTCGGTTTTCGCGAATTTCTGAAGTGTTTTTTTAATGTCTGAAAAATTTATTGTAAAGGTGAAAAACTAAATTGAGGGGAAAAATGAGGGATGAAAATTTGATTAGTGGGTTGGCGGATTTTCCGGGTTCTCCTGGGGTAACAGTAGTAAATCAATTTTGTAAATAAAGGTGATGTGGTGTGTATTGACCTACTCTTGCTGCATATTAGCACAAGTGCTGATACGGAACATATTAAATATTGACTAGTGTCAACTATGGGAAAAAAAAGAGTGATTTTTTTAGAACATGTTTCGAATGAGTTGAGTGCCTGTGAGTGGTTTGATTGGAGTGTTTATTTCGAATAATTGGGATAATTGTCTAGGATATTTTTATCGGCTGGTAAATATTTCATTCTTTTGTTTATTACAGGGAGCAAATTGAAAATTATGATGAAATATTATGATTTAAATTGATAGAAATTTCAGGAAAATTGGAGACTTAGAAAATTAGAACAAATTGAATGAAAATTGTTTAATAAAATCCAATTTTTCAAGTATTTAAACAATGAAAGTCGTAAATTTCAAGGGCTAAAAATGAATATTTTCATAAATTCTCCTTAACCCCTTGTTTTTTAAAAATTCTCAAAAAAAAAAAACTCAAGAGGAAGACAAGTAACAGTTTATTAGAGTTCAATTTTGCAAATATTTTTAGAAAAATTCACTACGAAAATTCATTTTATGGTGTTTTTTATAGACAATTTTAAAAGCTAAGATAAGCTCCACAGAAAAATTATCTTCAAGCTCTTCATTTCTAAGATATTCAAAAATAAAGAACCGAAAATTCGAAAAACGCGGTTGTCAGAATGTCAGCCACTTTTTTCTAGTAATTTTTATTGTCTGAAAAATTTATTGTGAAGATGAAAAACTACATTGAGTGGAAAAAATGGGGGAGAAATGAGTATTTTCATAAATTCTCCTTAACCCCTTGTTTTTTAAAAATTCTAAAAAAAATAAACTCAAGAGGAAGACAAGTAACAGTTTATTAGAGTTCAATTTTGCAAATATTTTTAGAAAAATTCACTACGAAAATTCATTTTATGATGTTTTTTATAGACAATTTTAAAAGCTAAGAAAAGCTCTACAGAAAAATTATCTTCAAGCTCTTCATTTCTAAGATATTCAAAAATAAAGAACCGAAAATTCGAAAAACGCGGTTGTCAGAATGTCAGCCACTTTTTTCTAGTAATTTTTATTGTCTGAAAAATTTATTGTGAAGATGAAAAACTACATTGAGTGGAAAAAATGGGGGAGAAATGAGTATTTTCATAAATTCTCCTTAACCCCTTGTTTTTTAAAAATTCTCAAAAAAATAAACTCAAGAGGAAGACAAGTAACAGTTTATTAGAGTTCAATTTTGCAAATATTTTTAGAAAAATTCACTACGAAAATTCATTCTATGATATTTTTTATAGACAATTTTAAAAGCTAAGAAAAGNGAATGTCAACCACTTTTTCTAATAATTTTCATTGTCTGAAAAATTTATTGTGAAGATGAAAAACTACTATAAAAAACTATGATAAAAAAGAGTAGTTTTGTTGAATGAGTTGAGTGTCTGTGAGTGGTTCAGATTCCAGTGTTTATTTGGAATAATTGTCTAGGATAATTTTATCGTCTGGGAAACATTTCATTCTTCCGTTTATTACGTGAAGGGAATTACAAATTATATATTTTTTAAATGATTGATATTTGAAAAATTTGGATGGTTTTTAGAACAACATATAAATTGATAGGAATTTCGAACAAATTGAGTGTTTAATAAAATCTAGTTTCGAAGTTTCCGAATAATAAAAGTCGGAAATTTCAAGGGCTAGAAATGAGTATTTTCATAAATTCTCCTCAACCCTTTGTTTTTTAAAAATTCTCAAAATAAAAAAAATTAAATTTTCTTTAAGAGGAAGACAAGTAATAGTTTATTAGAGTTCAATTTTGCAAATATCTTTTGAAAAATTCACTATGAAAATTCATTTTATGATGTTTTTTACAGGCAATTTTAAAAGCTAAGAAAAGCTCCACAGAAAAATTTTCTTCAAGCTCTTCATTTCTAAGATATTCAAAAATAAAGAACCGAAAATTCGAAAAACGTGGTTGTCAGAATGTCAATCACTTTTTCTAATAATTTTCATTGTCTGAAAAATTTATTGTGAAGATGAAAAACTACTATAAAAAACTATGATAAAAAAGAGTAGTTTTGTTGAATGAGTTGAGTGTCTGTGAGTGGTTCAGATTCCAGTGTTTATTTGGAATAATTGTCTAGGATAATTTTATCGTCTGGGAAACATTTCATTCTTCCGTTTATTACGTGAAGGGAATTACAAATTATATATTTTTTAAATGATTGATATTTGAAAAATTTGGATGGTTTTTAGAACAACATATAAATTGATAGGAATTTCGAACAAATTGAGTGTTTAATAAAATCTAGTTTCGAAGTTTCCGAATAATAAAAGTCGGAAATTTCAAGGGCTAGAAATGAATATTTTCATAAATTCTCCTCAACCCCTTGTTTTTTTTAAATTCTCAAAAAAAAATAAACTCAAAAGGAAGACAAGTTACAATTTATTAGAGTTAAATTTTGCAAATATCTTCAGAATGAAATCAGTATGAAAATTCATTATACGATGGTTTTTATAGCCAATTTTAAAAGCTAAGAATAGCTTCAAAGAAAAATTATCTTCAAGCTCTTCATTTATAATGAAGGATCTAATGCGAAAATTCCAATAGAATTTTCTATTAAATTTTTTCATACGTGAAATTCTCCGCAACCTTTCATTTCCCAGATATTCGCAAAATAATAAAAATGGAATTGAAAAAAATAAGCACAATATTACCTAACTCTGCACATAAAGTACTATTGAATTCCTCGAATTACAACGGAATGACTCATGAAAAACGAGAGACTGCGTCTCACAAATTGGAGAAAGGTGTTATGACACATAAGAAGGTATTTAAACCGCAAACTGACCTCTGAGTATTTCGATCGCACTGTCCAGAATTGAGTTTATACTGATTCAGGTCAACATGAGCCGGCTCAGGCACAAGTATCATCTGAAACGTCTAGTTGAGACCCACAGTCACTCAATTGGTACCCGACCAACAGCTCAAAAAAGAGAATAATACATTTCGCCATTTATCATTCCCTCAATTCATTCGCCCAATCTATTTCCATTACTATTATTATTTCATTTCTCTCGACGAAAAATATTACCCAGGGGTTCAATGACAGTGCAGACACATTCCACGGTGGGATACGTATATAGACCAGGGGAAAAGGTGAAATTAAACTTGTTATGTAATCGTAACCATGTAATACAATAAAACGGAAGATAATTGATGGCCATTAATCGGCATAGGCACGAGACATCGTGCCGGTTCCAAGGGTTGTTGAGAAATCACTTTATTGGGTTTTTTTTTCACTCAAGTACGTGTTACACTGACCCTGTAGCTTGTTTATGGCCAGTGAGTTTTACCTCGGTAATTTCTAAAGTGTCGGTTTATTTGTTTTTTTTTTAATTTTGTTGAATGTGGTATTGATTTCTGCTTGTAATCAGGGAAATAAAGGTGAGGGGGAAGGGGTAATGAGGACAATTAGGAGTTTATATTTTGAAGTGGTGATCTGTTGGTATTATTCGATAGTGAAGTGGTGGAACTGCTACTGTGGTGAGACGAATTGACTTCGAGATTAATTTTTTACGAAGTTTTCCGAATGTAAGAAGATTGCGAAATTTTTAAAAGATTCTCAAGCTGTCGATTGTAATTTTGATATCTTTCCTCAATTTTGGAATTATTCCGCACTACATTTTTTTACATTCAATTATGTGTTATAATAGTTTGTTTATGGCCAGTGAGTTTTACCTCGGTAATTTCTAAAGTGTCGGTTTATTGGTTTTTTTTTTTTAATTTTGTTGAATGTGGTATTGATTTCTGCTTGTAATCAGGGAAATAAAGGTGAGGGGGAAGGGGTAATGAGGACAATTAGGAGTTTCTATTTTGAAGTGGTGATGTGTTGGTATTATTCAATAATGAAGTGGTGGAACTGCTACTGTGGTGAGACGACTTATCGAAATTAATTTTTTATAAGGATGTTTCAAACCTGTTGATAAACATTTTGATATCTTCCTTCAATTTTGGAATATTTTGCAGTGTTGGTTTTTTTTTACTGAAGTACGTGTTAGAATAACTTGTAACGGCCTGTGAGTTTTACCTCGGTAATTTTTAGTCTCGGTTTATTGTTTTTTTTCAATCTCATTCGGTGAAACTACAGATAAAAGGGGAGGTCGTAGTGAGAACAATAATGAGTTTTTACTTTGAAGTGATGATGTGGCGGGATTATTAAATAGCGAAGTGGTGGAATTATTACTGCAGTGAGACGAGTTGACAAGGAGATTTTCAACCGGAGATTTTTATAAAGCGGTTTCTAACTTGTCGATAAAATTATTGATATCTTTCCTCAATTTTTTTGCTCAAGTACTTGTTACAATAGTCTGTCTACACTGAGAGACAAAGTTAGTTGAACTGAAAAATTATGTTTCCATGAAATGATCTTTTGTCGTGTTGAATCAATTTACTTGTGGACAAAAAAAAGTTTTCACAAACACATGATAATTTTCGTACATTGAAAAGACGAGAGCTTTTTGGGTCGCGAGTTCCACCTTAATCATTTCGCAAGTGCCCGTTTGTTACAAAATAGTAGGTTAAATAGTCGATGCTGGGGACTTTGGTCTCAATATTTTTCCCAAAAAATTACGATTAGACAAAAATTTTGCAAAAAAAATCGAAAAATATTAATAATTGAGGGAGTTATGATCTTTTGACAATTTCGAGTTTTCGTCAATATTTTTTTTTTAGATTGGCCCAATATCTGGGCGGGATTTCAAGCTATCAAATATAACTAGAAACCCCGCTGAGATATTGGGGCCAATTTGAAAATAGTATATTTCGTCATTAGGCCGAAAAAAACTTTTCTGCCGAATATGAGGTTTGCAGCACGAGCCGAAGGCAAAGGCTGCAATCATATTCGTCAGAAAAGTTTTTTTTGGCCGTATGACGACCAATATTTTTTGTCATGACGGCCGTAGGCAGAGATTCACGGACGCGGAGTGTCCGTGAAACGCTGCCTTATGGTCGGAATGACAAAAAAAATATTGACAATAAATGGAAATTTTCAAAAAATAATAATTCCCTCAATTATTAATATTTTTCAATTTTTTTTTCTTTTCAAAATTTTTGTCTAATCGCCATCTTTCCAGAAAAAAATGACACGAAAATCCCCAGCATCGATTTTTTTAGCCTGCTGATTTGACGTGGATCTGCTTATATTGGTTTCTACATGCCATCAGGGAAATAAAAAATCCAACCTTAAATGTATTTTCATTCCTCAGATGAATATCATCACTAAAAATAATACTTACCTGAATTCTCCATTATTTTTCGGAAGACTTTTTTGTTCGGGGAAGGAAATGAATATTTCCCCTAGATTCTTAAATGAAAATGCCTGTATGAAATCGAGACATTACTACTGAGAATGATAGTTCTTATTGAAAATTGATTTTCCAGAGTTGAAAAGCGATAATTGTTCAAATTTGCGAATACCCACGAAGACAAATATTATCAGTCATAATATTTCAAAGTGATGAATAATCAACTATTGTCCAATACTTGATAATTTTTATCAATTTTTCAGCTTTTTTAAATTTTTACCTCGAACCGGTTTACCACAAAACCAAAGAACTGACGCTTTTGAGTAAAGTAGAACTATTTATTTGAACCTGGTCTATTCAGCAATATTTTTCTTGGAAATTACTAAACCCACGAATTTATTCAAAAATAAACAATAAATAAATTAATTAATTAATTAATTAATAATTCACTTATTTAGTAATTTCCTTCTTTTTCATTTCACAACAAACTGGTCAAGGTGACCCTTTGACCGACTTGCCCCCTGAAAAAATCCAAGATCTGACACTTTGGCCCCCGGTGAAGAAAAATTTTTTTCAGTTTCAACTTTTTCCACATACTTTTGAGAGTTCTGAATAGCCCATCGCTTAAATAGTTGGAATCAACGTTACTTTTTTTATTTACTGATAAGAATAATAATTTCCTATTCCGTAGAAAAAAAAACATGCGGTGCTAAAAATTTAGTAGCTAAAAATTCAGAAGAAAAGTTTCCTAAGATTCCACAGTTTTCAGTAATTTATTAGATTATATTTTGTTCCTGGCAACAGTTGCAATTTTTCGAAGAATATTTCCGATGACCACAACAAAATTGTATATTTCGTGACGAGTGCGGAAAAGAGATTATAAACAGAGGGGTTATTTTGGGGTGCAGCGTGGGATTATATCACTCGCCTTCGGCTCGTGCTATAAACCTCCCACGAGCCAAAAAACACTTTTGCCACGAGTATCGAACGATATTTTTCATTACAATGTGTGGAAAAGGGACGTTTTAGGCACGCAAAGCCTAAATAGTTACTTTTTCGCACAGCGTGATGAAATAGTATATTATGACCCGTGGGAAGTGTGTAGCGCTTCCAAGAATAATACTTTTCCCACGAGTGTCGAACCCTATTTTTCATTACAATGTATGGAAAGTGAGATTTTACGCACGAGTGATTAAATGTACTGCCATAACACTCCTATTATTCATACCGTTTTCACGGCTGACTGCTCAGAGATACGAAAAAAAGTACCGAATACAAAATGTTCCTTCACCAAAAATACACGTATTCAGTCTATGAACTTTTTTCTGTATCTTCATTATTTAGATAGATATCTGACATTTACTCGGGAGTAAAGGTGCTTGACGTGCTCTCAAAATAACGTAGATATAAGAAAAAGTCAATAAATCAAATTCATGCATTTTTCGTGGAGGAGGATTTATTATGCTGAACTTTCTTCCGTATCTCCAACTGTTTAGCGGCGAAAGCATTGTAAAAAATAAAACTTATGAGAAATTTTCTTCAATGACTGCCCCATTCGCTTGATGAAAAAAAAAATCACGCCTCTTAAAGAAACATTTATTCAATTGAAATGACGTTTATTTACTTTAAATAATCGATTTCTCACCACGTGCGGGAAATCGTCTCCCAGATTCCTCAAATCTTCAACCTACCAGATACAAATGACCCGGAATCCAGTATCTCGCCGCAAAAAAACATCAAACGTAAACATAATTTCCTGAATTGTAACTGCGTCCGCACTCTCCTCAATCCTGCACTTATCAATTGCGCAAATTCTATAATTGCCGGCGAAAAAAGACGCGCAAAAAGTCCATGTCGGTTATCACGGGTGTTAATCATGCGATAAACCGGTGTCGGAAAAATGCATTTTTGAAGATAATCAGTTAAATAAAGTTCATATGAAACGTAAACACAATTTCTCGAATTTTAACTGTGTACGTGTTTTGCGTATTTTTATATTATCAGTTGTTTGAATTCCAATTGATGGACAAAGAGAAGTGATAAAAAAAACACAACAAAAAGTGAGAAACGTACAACACCGAAGGTTGTAATATTTTCACCATTCGACAGTTTGTCATTACTTCTGTAGTGCACTTTACAGTCGTTAATATAAAATAACGCGGTGGCACTTGTTCAGTCGCGAGTTGATTTCTGAATGTAGCTGAAGTACAAAACAGTTGTCATAAATTAAGTGTAATGAATCACATGAATTGAATTAATTCACTCTAATCATTTGAATTAAGGAAGATTGAGGACACTGTCTGGACTGTCTCTCAGACCTGACAAAAGGAAAATTGAGGTGGTGATAGGACACTGAGTGGATGAAGTGGAAGAAGCTGGAAGACGTGATAAGTCGTTTAGTGAATTATGGCTATTGTTCACAAACGTGAGGATTGGGAGGAAAGTAGGACTGGAAAGATCAAAGGATTTTTGTGCAAACGACTGCCGATACTTTCTTGGCTGCCACAGTATGACTCGGAGAAGGCAATCAGCGATGCTATTGCTGGGATTACGGTGGGACTCACTGTCATGCCGCAAGGACTTGCTTATGCTATTTTAGCGGGACTCGAGCCTCAGGTAAATCATTTCAATTATCGTTTTTACGAATGGGAGAGGACGAGACAGTTCCGGGCTTCATCAAACGATAAAATTTCGTAGAAAAATCTGAAAATTGTAGTGAATTTATATTGGAAATTATTTTTTGGCCGATTCTATTGAAAAATTATGCACCTTTTGCGCGAAATTGAAAATGTCTGATAGACAATATTTTATGGAAAAAATACGGGAAATTTCATCTTTCTATGCAATTTTTTTTATTGAAACATTTTCGATAGAAAATGTGCCTTTTTCGTTTCTCGACAGGAGTTTCCTGTTTTTTTTAAATATTTTTTTTCTCTTTTCGTTAAAAATGTTGAAGAAAAAACATTAGAAAATTTGGGCTGAGGAATTTCTATGGGAAATCTTTGAATAGAATTACTTGTACAGAAAAATCCAATTCAATCCATTTTTTTCCACGATTTTTATGGGAAAAATACGTGAAATTTCATGTTGGTGTACAACTTAGTCTATTGAGATATTTTCTGTAGGAATTCCTCGACAGCAGTTTTCGGTTTTTTCACTCAATTATTTTATTCTGTTTTTGTTAAACAAAATCGAACAAAAACAATTAGAAAATTTGAGCCGAGGAATTTCTGTAGGAAATATCTCAATAGAATTAGTTTTGCACCAATAAAATAAAAAAACAAATTAGTTTTGCATAGAAAAATCGAATTCAATTGATTTTTTTCCGTGATTTTTATAGAACAAAAAAGTGAAATTTCATCTTTATATACAATTGAGACATTTTCTGCAGAAATTTCTCGACAGGAGTTTTCTGTTTTTTTCAATCGATTTTTCCTCCCTTTTCATTAAAATAATGAACAAGAAAAGAGAATTTGAGTAGTGAAAATAGATATTTGTGCGAAATTCCTTTGGCTACAAAAATGATCTCTCGACCTTTTTTTTGCTCGACATCACTTCAGCAAAGATTATCCTGTTTTTTGTATATTTTTCCAAATTTCGATGAGCCCCGTTTATTTTTGAATTACCTTTACCCATACATTTTAACATGTTTCCTTCACTGAAGATAATCGAACCATTACATCAATGATAAAGAGGTTCAAAAATCAGCTTGAGTTTTTCAAACACCTTTTCAAATGTATTTTATGTTGCGAAGGAGTCATTCACGTGGAAAGTCAAAATTCTGAAAGAAGACGAATTGTCTTCATTCTTCCCTTACTTCACTACTGATCTTATCAACTCTCCATTATTCTTTATTTATCTATGTTGATCGAATCTGCATTGTATTATTTGAATTGTTTTTCGTATATTTTTCCAAATTTCGATGAGCCCCGTTCATTTTTGGATTCATTTCGTTTCGTTTCCTTTCTTTCTAAAATTTTCTTCTCATCATTTTGGATTATCACTGTGTTACAGTATGGATTGTACTCTGCATTTATGGGCGCCATTGTTTACGTCGTCTTTGGCTCCTGCAAAGACATTACCATCGGCCCGACAGCTCTGATGGCAATTATGACGCATGAGTATGTCCAGGGAAAGAGTCCAGACTTTGCTGTTCTCCTCGCCTTTCTCGCCGGCTGTCTTCAACTCGTCATGGCTTGTCTGCATTTAGGTATGCACATCAATCAACTACGTCAGCTTTATGAAAATCCATGGAGATGTTGAGTGACAGGGGGAAAGTGCATCATTACCTGCAAATGCAAGGAATTTTGTACTTTTTCTTCTCTCTCACTTCTTTGGAATTCTATTGAAACTAAGGTAAATGTCCCTACGCTAGTTTAGCTAAGCTGAACACATCATTAATCTAATATTTTTATCGAAATGAGCGTGACAATGCGATGGTTTAAATTAGATAGAGGGGAAAACCTTCAGAATTCGAATTCACTTATATTAATCATGATAATGACTATTTTTGCTTTCGAATGGAAGCTTTGTAATTGGGCGATTTTTCGATTCTCTAATTTTGCTTGAAAATGACTTAGAATGTCATGAAACGTCGAGACATGATGTTTTTAGAACATGTCTGTGAGTACGGCCGGATGTGCGTACAAAATTCTGGCAATTTTTTTATAAATTTTAACAAAAAATGGATTAAAGTGATAGATAAAAATCTGAAATTTTGGCTCATAATTGGTATTGTTTGGGAGCATTTTCTTCTCTCTCACTTCTTTGGAATTCTATTGAAACTAAGGTAAATGTCCCTACGCTAGTTTAGCTAAGGTGAACACATTATTAGTCTAATATTTCTATCGAGATGAGCGTGACAATGCGATGGTTTAAATTAGATAGAGGGGAAAACCTTCAGAATTCGAATTCACTTATATTAATCATGATAATTACTATTTTTGCTTCCGAATGGAAGCTTTGTAATTGGGCGATTTTTCGATTCCTTAATTTCCCTTGAAAATGACTTAGAATGACTTAGAATTTTGTAATAAATATAAATTTCCATTTTTCATCGGGAATTTTCTGAAGTGAAAATAAAATGTCAGAATTTTTAATTCGAATTTTCACTACGAAAAATGAGTTTAACAACGTTAATAGATTTTTATTTTTCTGTAGAAATTCTTGGGCATGAAATTCCTAATCTGTCACTAGGAACAACGCAAATTTTTTTAATCCCACATTTCTTCAAATCTGATGAAATTTCGATAGAACAATGAGGCTTTTTTTTCATTGTCGAAGGCATCGGAAACTACTGAAGCATAGAACGTATTTCGTATCGAGAAAAACAAAAAATGCGTAACTTTCTAAATTCGCGTATATCGGTTTCTATTTACAACTGCCGTTGGAATAATCGCTTCATACTCGATAAATGACCTCGAGTCTATGTTGAAGAGAATCTTCATCGAAATTATTTTTGCATTTTCTGTCCAAATTATCGATTCTCGCGATTTCAGACCATTTGTCTGTGATTAATTCAGTAAGTAACTTGTGTCTCATTACGTATTACTTTACGAAAAACGAGACACCTATGAAAAAATCGTGTAGAAAGTTTCTATACGGATTGCGTATAGAATTTTTATAGGATTTTCGTATATGATATTCGTATATTTCTATACTGATATTTTTTATACAAATTATTTCTATACGATTTCTATACGTTTGATCCTATCCAACCCACTGCCACATGTATAGAAACATTTCGTATGGAGTTGTGACATTTCTCTACGTTTTCTCTGGAGTGTTGACATCTTTCGTATGAAAACAAAAAGTTATGTAAAAATTTATGTTTAGAAATAATTCGTATAGAAAATATTCATATAGAAATATCCGAATATCATATACGGAAATCCTATGGAATCTTTATACGCAATCCGTATAGAAAATTTCTATACGATTTTTTCATACGTGGAATCCTCATAAAAAATGGAAAGAAAATCCAAGTCGGGAAATGTCGTGTGGATAATCATTATGTGCGATGGAATTACATGATGAGTAAGGAAGATAGCTGTAAATCAAAGGGTTGAAAAAAAAACATCGTTATGGAATAAAAAATCACGCACGAAAAAATTTCATAGAAAAAACTAGAAAATTATATAGAAAATCCTATCGCATTTCCATCCAAAATGGTGTTAGTTTCTGGTCCATTCTGTTGAACAATTTCGCAGTTTTACAATATTTTTTTTAATAGAAAATGTCTAATATAAACTATTTTATAAAAATATTCAGTGGAATTTTATTTTTATTTACAATTTTCTTTATTGAGACATTTTTCGTAGAAATTCCTCGATATGAATTTTTCAATTTTTTTCGACTCTATTTTTGTAATTTTTTTAGCTATGAAAGTAACCCCTAGACCATTTTGCCACTTTGGATATTTTTTCTAGTTTTTGATGAGCCCCGTTTATTCTTGGATTATTTCTACCCATTAATTTTGACGTTTCCTACAATGAAGATAATTGAAACATTACCTCAATAATAAATGGATTTAAGGGTCACGTCGAGTATTTTCAAACACTTATACAAATGAATTTCATGTTGCGGAAGAGTCATTCATATGGAAATTGAAAATTCCTAAAGAAGTCGAGTTATCTCCATTGTTCCCTCACTTTACTACTGATCTTATCGATTCTCCATTGTTCGTTATTTGTTTATGTAAAAGTATCTTCATTGTAAGATTTTATTGTCAAAAAATCAAAACCAAGGTTTTTGCAAAAAAAATTGTGCCAAGGAAAAGTTTTGTTCGGTTATACTCTACAAAAGATATAATTGTTATGCTTTGAAAAAAGATAGCAAATTAAAAAAATAAAATGAAAAAAAGGCAAGTCAGGAATTGTCGTGTGGATAATCATCATGTGCAATGAAATTATATGATGAGTAAGGATGATAACTCTAAATCAGAGCTGAAAAAAAACACCGTTACGGAATAAAAAATCACGCACGAAGAAATTTCATACAAAAACCTAGAAAATTCTATGGGAAATCCTATCGCATTTCTATCCAAAATGCTGTTAGTTTTTGGCCCATTCTATTGAACAATTCAGCAGTTTTGAACAATTTTGTTGTAGAAAATGTCCGATAGAAACTGTTTTATAAAACTGTTGTGGATTTTTTTTCATTGAGTAATTTTTTAGCTACAAAAATAATCTCGACATTTCTTATCCTTCAAATCACTTTAACAGAGGTTTAATTATTCTTTGTATATTGTTTTCTACTTTTAGATGAGCCCCGTTCATTGTTGGATTACTTCTGCCCATTAATTTTTACATGTTTCCTACAATGGAGATAATTGAAACATTACCTCGATAATAAATTGATTTAAGAGTCACGTCGAGTGTTTTCAAACTCTTGTGCAAATGAACTTTAGAAATTGAAAATTTCGAAAGAAGACGAGTTATCTTTATTGTTCCCTCGTTTTACTACTGATCTTATCGATCTTCCATTATTCGTTATTCGTTTACGGTAATGGAATTTACATTGTAGCACTCCATTGAAATATACGCGTGAAAAAATTTAATAGAAAAACCTAGCGAATTCGCTAGACAATTCTATTGGATGTCTATTGAAATTTCTATTGGTTTTTGGACGATACCATTAAAATGTTCAATAGAAAATATTCTGTAGAAACAGTCAGAAGAATTTGATTCTTCTTTACAACTTATTCTATTGAGATATTTTCTACCGAATTTACTCGGCTCAAATTCTCAATTTTTTTTGTTTAATTTACTTCATGACAAGAAAAGAAAAATACAATGAAAAAAATTTGGAAAATTTGAGCCGAGGAAATTCTATAGAATCTCAGTAGAATAAGTTGTATAGAAAAATCGAATTCTATTGACTTTTTCAATAGAAATCCAAGAGAATTTTATAAAAAATTCGCTAAGTTTTTCTTTTAATTTTTTTCGTGCGTATATCCTTGGAAATTTTCCACATTTTATTCTCATCATTCGCGTTTATTGCTATTCCACCCCCTAAACCGATTTGCAATGTCCCAAAAACTGAATTGAACCCCCCTTTCACACGGAAATATTTATATTTTGAGAAATATATTTAAAAAATGGCTTAAATTGGCGCAATTTATATAAAAAAAAAAAAAAAATATCTGTTTTATATACATTTTTATACATTCTTTATGAATTTGAAAAATATATGGAGTTAGCCCATATTAAGGATTGACGTAAGCATCTTTTTTACAAGAATAAATTTTTTTATGGTCAAATGCCATGAAACTTTGGCAAAACGTTATTTGAACTATTATAAAATGATCGATCTATCGCTCAGCTCTTCGTCATATTGTCAATATCGATTTTTTTGGTTTTTTATATTTTAGTTGATATCGACAATATGACAAAAAGCTAAGCGATAGATCGATCATCTTATAATGATTCAAATAACGTTTTGCCAAAGTTTCATGGCATTTGACCATAAAAAAATTTACTCTTGTGAAAAACTCCCGCCAAAATTGCTTACGTCAATCCTTAAATATATTTTTTGTATATTTTTTTATGAGGGCAGACGTTCTAATCGACTTCATCTCGATCCCCGTGACCGTGGGCTTCACCTCAGCAACATCCGTAATCATCGTGGCCTCGCAGCTGAAGGGAATGCTGGGCCTCAAGATCACCTCGTCAGGCTTCATCGACACAATCACCAAAGTTCTGAGGAACATTGGCGACACGAATCCCTGGGACGCCGGTATGAGTTTCTCCTGCATCATTTTCCTCCTCTCCCTGAGGAAGATGAAGGACATAAAGTTCGGATCGCAGAGTGGAAAGCCCTCCAGGGACCGACGAACTCTCGCTAAAATAATCTGGCTGATTTCAACAGCGAGAAATGCCATTGTCGTCGTCGTGTGCTCGACAATTGCTTACAAAATGAACTCCACGACTGGCTCGCCCTTCATCCTGACTGGACCAGTGAGATCTGGCCTGCCACCATTCGGTTTACCTCCATTCTCCACGACTAGCAATGACAAGGAGCTGAATTTCCTGGAGATGTGCAGCGAATTGGGCCCAGCGATATTCCTGGTTCCCATAATTGGGGTCCTGGGGAATGTGGCTATTGCCAAGGCATTCGCCAATGGCGCTAGTGTGGATGCTACGCAGGAATTACTGACCCTGGGACTCTGCAACGTCCTGGGATCTTGTGCCAGGGCCATGCCTGTCACTGGCTCCTTCAGCAGATCTGCTGTCAATCATGCCAGTGGGGTCAAGACACCCATGGCCGGACTTTACACTGGCCTTCTCATCATTCTTGCACTCAGTCTTCTCACACCTTATTTTTACTTCATTCCCAAAGGTTTGTTATGCTCGATTTTTCGTAATTGTTGATCAGTTGTTAATTTTCAGTTATTTCGCTGAGAGAAAAATTTGCTCTGCGGAAGAATTTTATTGTTCCTGATGATCACAAAAAAAAATTAGGTTTTGTGAAAGATTAAATTTCCTTCTATCACGTTGGCTAATTTCAAAATTCTGAAATATTCTCACGTGGATCCCAGAGTTTTTCGGCAGCGCTAATCACGGATGAAAAAAATTAAAGAAATTTAATTTAAAAAATTGAATTAATGCGTTGGAAAATTCTATTGAGCTTCCCATTAGTTTGTGGCCGATTCTATGAAATGTTTAATAGAAATTATTCATTAGAAAAAGTCAATAGAATTCGATTTTTATCGAAACGTTCAATTTAATCAAAACTCCATAAGAGGTCGTGTATAAGACTGATTTTGTTTATTTAATTTCTCGATATCCATAAGTTCTAAAATTTTAAAATTGTCACCGATGTTCACCATCTGTCTAATACTATTAATTAAAAAAACTATAACTTTGTTGGTGAATGTCAATTTTCAAGGTCATTGCCAAATTCACTTGGCACCCTTAACTCGGTTTACCGCTTCGCTACTGAATTTGTGGGATGATTGAAATATTTATGAAGTGCAATTTATTCAGATGATTATCGTATATTAGTTCACTGTACCCCATTCCATCTGCTTGTTCGTTTTTATGGTAATGAATTTTCCCTTTCATGTTTAATACAACTTTGTCGACGTTTCAGCCTCGCTGGCGGCAGTTATAATATGTGCTGTTATCTACATGATTGAGTACGAGGTAGTGAAACTCATGTGGAGATCAAGTAAGAAGGACCTGATCCCAATGTTCGCCACTTTCTTCCTCTGTCTTGGGATCGGAGTCGAGTATGGTATTTTGGTCGGCGTGGGAATCAATCTCATGTTCCTGTTGTATCCGTCAGCCAGACCCACTATTCACGTCGAGAAGTGTGTGGTAAGTTGCCATTCATAATTATAAACTCTGTCTGTATTAAAAATTCAGTAGCGAAGCTATAAAACGATTTAAGGCCCAGGTGTACTATCTTTGGAACGTCATCTCGATGTTTTTTTCATCTTTCGTCATCTGAAATTGTCAATTAAGTCCTGCAGCATGCAGAAGTTTTGAAAAATTATGAATGAATAATCAAAAAAAAGTAGAAGAAATTCTCAATTTTTTCACAGAGCATTTTTAATTTATATTCAGCATGAGTTGAATAACAAGAAATTGAAAAATGTACCTGATTTACGTTGACAAATGGCGGCCTGTCACCCAATATCTTGCAGGGGGAAGACTGATTTCATAAATCTTTCCCCACACTGCACAGAGAAATTTATTACGGAAAAGGCTCTTTGAAAAAAGTTGTAATATTTTGGAGAATTTTTTAATCACACTTTTATCACATAAAAATGGCAGATGACTACATACCACTGTTTTAAAAATTGAGATACCTAGCTGTCACTTCCCATGAGGAGTTAGTGTTTTGTTATCCACCATGGAAAATGACAGCTAATAGATAATTTGCCACAGCGAATCAGATATTTGTAATTTTTACTTTTTTCAACTCATTCTGAATCTCAATTAAAAACGTTCTTTGAAAAATTTCAGGATTTTTCCTTTTTTTATCATTCTATCATAATTTTTGAGAATTTCTACATGATGTACCACTCAATTGACAATTTTGGATTACGAAAGATGAAAAAAATCCAGATAACATTCGAAAGATAGTACACCCTGGCCTTAAATTTGAACAATTACAATGCTTCCATCCGGAAGCAAAAAATAGCTACAGTTCATCGATATCCTTGAACTATTTTACCGCGTCGCTATTGAATTATCTCCAACGACAATTAAATATTTTACCAATTATGTAGACAGCTCGAAAATGAACAATTTCACGAGAATTAGAGAGTAATTCCAAAAGTCAAGGTCTATAAGCGTTATTTACTGGAAATCCGTTGAAATAAAGAATTTAAAACAGTCTGTAAACTTTTTATCCCTTACGCAATTCTCCAACAACAGTAACAATTTATCATCGAATATAATGAATTCCCTCGTATTTTAGACGGAGTCAGGAACAGATTATCTCCTAGTGACACCCGGAAACAGCCTCTACTTCCCAGCAGTAGACTTCATAAAACAATTTGTTGGTCACGCTGGCGTTCGAGAGGGCTCAAGCCAATTGCCAGTTGTTGTTGATTGCAGATACGTTTTAGGTGCTGATTTCACTGCAGCCAAGGTAAGCAGCCCAATAAAACATGAGCAATAATAGAACTTTCATTTTTACAACCGGAGAGACCTTATTTATCAATCTGCGGGGCAATACTCACTGGCGTTTATGACTGCAGGGAATTGCAGCACTCATTGATGAGTTCAACATGAGGAAACAGGGACTTTATTTCTTCAATCCACGGTCAGACGTTGTGGCTGTTTTGCGCGGTGCCTGTGGCGAGGATTTTCAACATGTCGCCACTCAGGAGGAGTTGTCGTACCTTTTGTACCGAAATCGAGGTGATGCGGAATTTTATTTTCATTTACATTTGTATTTACATTTTAAGGGTGCCCAGTGAATTTGAAGAAAGATTCAAAAAAAAATTTTTTCCTTCCACCATCGGAGGAATATGTATTCATCCATCTGACAAAACTTCAAACCCGCAACCGGAACTAGACATCGAGAAAATAAATACGGAAAATCCTCCATTTCGCGTGACGATCCTCGAGAAAGCATGGGATCAAATGGGTACGGGGGATTCAAATATCTCTCCTATTCACCCCGGTACCCCATTGTTTTTTGTCGCTATCACATTTGACACATAATTCCCCATATCTTCAAATTTTTTCAAATTTTTCTTGAGTTCCTAGGGGGGCGAAACGTTCAATTTAATCAAAACTCCATAAGAGCCCGTGTATAAGACTGATTTGGTTTATTTAATTTCTCGATACCCATAAGTTCTAAAATTCTAAAATTGTCACCGATGTTCACCATCTGTCTAATACTATTAATTTACAAAATTATAACTCTGTTGGTAAATGTCCATTTTCAAGGTCCAAATTCACTTGGCACCCTTAAGGTCTATTAACATACATAAGAATCAAGTACATTGAGTAACAGTATCACAATGAGCTTGGACTTGAAAAAATAGTTAGTACAGCTTCAGCCCGAAGGCTATTACATGTATTTTGCATAAAGATTGCGAATTTTTTATTTTGTGGCGCTTAAGGAGTATGGGAAAAGAAACAGAATATGTAGCGTAGGGAAAAATTTAAGGATCAAAGAAAAAAAACCCTATTTCTGAAAAAAACCTTATTTCTTTTTTTAAAAAAAACCCTATTTCGAAAATTTATTTTTCATTGTAGGCAGTGAGGGAATTAAAAAGCAAGACGATCTTGTTATATTGTTGATGATCAGATGATTTTGATAATAGACTATTAGAAATTTAGATTGAATTTAGATTCTAGACCATTAGAAATTTTATGAAATTCAAGTCATTCGTTATTTGTTGTGAATTGGATTTTAATTTGAAAGTCAATTGTTAACGGAATTTCTGGGTAATCTTGGAAATTAAACAAAAGAAATTTTTTTCCTTGAGGCGATCGCTGATATTCCAACAAATATTGAAAACTTTAATAGAAAAACCTAGTGCTTTGTTAAACGAATTCTATTAGAATACTATCGGAATTGTATAAGAAATCTATTAGGATTTTGTTGAAATTCAATTAAATAATGTCGTATATTCTGTATCGTAATTGACGCGGTGCATAATGTATTTTTCGTTGTGGGAAAGAGTGATTTCAAAAATAAGACGATTTTATTATATTATTGGTGATTAAATTATTTTGATAATATGTTATTCTAGACTGTTGAAAATATTTTGACATTCAAGTCATTTGTTACTTGTTGTTATTTGAATTTTTAATGCTGTGAATTTGAAATCAATTCGAGATCTACTTGTCAATGGAATTCCTGATTAATCTTGGAAATTAAACAAAAGAGATTTTTTTCCGTAGAATAATTCATTGAAATACCAAATGCTTTCTTCAGGAAATTCAATTGAATTTCTATCAGAATTGTATAAAAATTTTATTGGAGTTCTGTTGAAATTCTATTAAATAATGTCGTATCTTCTCTATCAAAGTAGAGGTGATGTATAATCTCTTTCATTGTGGGAAATGGGGGAATTAAAAAACAAGCCGATTTCGTCATATTGTTGACGATCAAATCATTTCACCATAGGTGTTTCATATATAAAACAGAAATGTAAAAATTCACTCGAAAAACCTAGTGCTTTCTTCAGGAAATTGCATTGAGTTTCTATTGGAGCTCTGATTTACCAGAAGAATCCATTAATAAAAATAAAACCATAGCCACTGAGATTCATTTCCTCAATATGTTCATGCGATCTCCTCCATTATTTATTTTCTTGAAAATAATTGACTATAAGTGAAATAATTAATTGTCTAGTAATGAAATTGTCCTCTGGCAGTAAAAACAAGACACAATTGATCATGCTTCAAGCCTGGAAATTCATTCATTAATGATCTAATTATTTACTTTGCAGATAAATCCTCTCGACAATTATCACTGAAGCGTGATCTGTCCTGCGAGGCGCTAATGAGCCCTGGCATCGAGTTAACCCACCGGCCATCCCACACAAATTACCACGAGTTGAGTGAAGTGAAGAGAACCCTACTCCCTGCCACCGCCAGCTGAAAAGTCCAAGTCAACGTCTTCATCCACCAGTCGTTGCATTTTTTCTACCAAGACTTAGGAATTACTGCAAATAGCTTTTATGGAGTGAATCTCATTGAATCCGTCGCAAACACAAAGATAGGAACGAAACAGGCAACATCACACAATGAAAAATGAAAATTACCTAACAGTATTTTAATGAGGGCGATAGAAAAGTCAATCGAAAAAAATCTTTTCAATCGATTTAGACCTTCTGTTTTGTTACATGACATTTATTATACGGGTCCATGAGGAATTGATTTTACAAAAATATTAAAAAGTATAAATATAGAAATATATGAAAAAACTATTGGAAGTCACAATACATGTAATCTTCCTCAATTCCCAAATTCTTAATCCAATGTCACTCTCCAAAATACCCTGATTGCTCCCTGCTTCCACACCAGATACCTTGGGGTTGAAGTTGACTACAACCTCAACTTTGAAGCCCATGCGAACATCATTTTAAAAAATGCATTGCTCGAGGCGTGAAGTTCCGTGGCCTTACCTATAAGGATAAAGGGCTCAACATCCACCACATTACTAAAATATATAAAGCACATCGTCTAGACTGACAGAAAAACAAACACGTTGTCAAACAAGTCTTGTTTGGGCCAAGAAAATCGCTAGTTGAAAATTGTCAAAAAAGAATTTGTTTGGTTCGAATTTGAAGGTCTCAAACATGAATAATTGTTCTGCTTTCGACAGCAAAGAAATATTTGGCTCGAGAGGCGGATAATTCACACCAGACGGTGCCTTTTTAGGATGAAAATATCTCATATAAAGGAAAATTTATCAACAAATATTTTTATTCATTTTTTTTTAACTACTAAATCTATTTTTGCGACAAAAATTTTCCATTCCAGCGCACTCTCTGCATGTTTGGCACAGAAAAATCATTTTTTGATAATTTTCAAAAAACGATTTTCTAGGCACAAGTAAGACTTGTTTGAGAACTTTGTCGTTTTTCTCTCAGTGTACTACTCTATTCCAGACCTGATACCAAAGAAATAATAGGCGTAGCGGAAAGAACCACCCTCTGCGAAATGACAAAAACTCGCCACCCTGATAGCCCTCTCCATATTCCCTCCAATACCCAACTTTACGAACGCACTAAAATAGAACCCATCACCGACGATTCCACAAACTGAACGAGTTTTGCTCTTAGCAACCTGGACCACTCCAAAGAATAAAATCAAACATCCATTTTACTTTATTCATGCACAATAGGTCATGAATAAATGAATTTTGAATTTCATAAATTTTTCGCGCCTCTAGAGTAGGATTAAAAATTGATTGTTTTTAGTAATTGAAAATTGTAATCGTGCGTTATGTAATTTTTCTGAACAAAGAAATGGCTGGTTGAACCGAAAAGGCGAGTTTAAAAGAAAATTTATGGAATTTAAAATTTATTTGTTCATTATTTATTGCGAATGAAGTAAAACGGATGCTTAACTTTATTGTTTGGAGTGTAGTGAACATTTTTTTTTTTTTTTATGCTTATTTTATTCCGCTTCCAGTCTGATGAGACTATATGGCGATTGATCAAGACTTTAAAAATGGTTAGATCTCACCATTCTACCCGGCCAGGAATCGAACCTGGAACCTATCCGTTGTGAGGCAACGGCCTTAACCACTACGCCAGGCCACCGGGCACGTAGTGAACATTGAGAAAAAAAAAGCTAAAATCGTATGAAAACTACGGCGCAAGAAGCATTTTTACGGTAAAAACAAGACCCATAGGTGTAAAACAAAGAAAAACATTTGTAATACCAAAGAGATGAATAAATACTTAAAAAAGAACGGGCAAGATCGATCGGGTCCTCGATTTCCCCTAGTTATTCCCATATTTCGTCATATAGGGGAGAGTGGGGCAAAATGAAACAGTCGAAAAATGACAGTTTGACGCAATTCAAACAAAAAAAATTTTTTTTTGTTAAACATTTCTATCAACTTTTGGTTACTAACTTTTTTTTTCTTGAGGGTACTAATGAGAATAATAACTTTGCGTTCAGTAGAATGGAAAATCATTGAGAAGTTTTAACGGGAGAAGATTTTGTCAATGGATTAATTGAAAAGAAAATGAAACAGAAAAATCCAAAGTCCACAGGAAGGCCCGGGGCGAGACCCAGAGGGAGAAAAAGGAAATGATGTTGAAGGGTAGAGCTACTTTAAATTTCACGGACGTATCCCCTTAAGAGTGCCAAGTGAATTTGAAAAAAGATAAAAAAAAAAAAAAAAATTTTCTTTCCCTCCATCATTGGAGAAATATGTATTCATCCATCCGACGAAATTTCAAACCCGCAACCGGAACTAGACATCGAGAAAATAAATGCGGAAAATCCTCTATTTCGCGTGACGAACCTCGAGAAAGCATGGGATCAAATGGGTACGGCGGGTTGAAATATCTCTCTTATTCACCCCGGTATACCCCATTGCTTTTTGTCGCCATCACATTGAACACATCATTCCCCATATCTTCAAATTTTTTCAAATTTTTCTTGAGTTCCTAGGGGGTTGAAACGTTCAATTTAATCAAAACTCCATAAGAGGCCGTGTATAAGACTGATTTTGTTTATTTAATTTCTCGATATCCATAAGTTCTAAAATTTTAAAATTGTCACCGATGTTCACCATCTATCTAATACTATTAATTAAAAAAATTATAACTTTGTTGGTGAATGTGAATTTTCAAGGTCATCGCCAAATTCACTTGGCACCCTTAAAGAGATCAAGCAAGAATATGAATTCAGCCCTTCAGACGTTAGTTTCCGTTGAATATCCCAATATTAAAAAAGATATGGAAATTTCCCTGAACAACTCTCATTGATCTCTAGAAAGATCTCCCTATCCCCCACATCCCAACACAAAACTCGAAAGCTCCCCCTCAACTCAATTAAACCTCCCCCTCGCCCCGGTTCCGCACTTCGCTCCAGAATTTAAACGCAATCATCCGATAACAGCGCAGGAGTGAGATTCACCTCATATTGATCTGGCGTCAGCGCAGTTGAGATGACAAAATACATGGGTGGGATGCTCTCGTGACCTCCCCTGACGACACGTGCGCCAGCCCCAGAAGCCGTTGCGCTGCCAATCGCCACATGATCAACAAGTTAAGGCTTCTAATGTCCACAATACCCGAACAACAACTGAAACCCCTCCCAAGGTTCCCCTCCCCCTAAAATGTTCAAAAGCTCGCGACCCCAGTCAAAAATCTCGTCACCATCCCCAAGTGCTCAACACCTCGACAAATCAGTGCCGAAGATGAGTGAAAGCTCAATGTGATGCATACTGTGCTGCAGAAGGGCGTAATAATAATCCTAGTGATGTCGGTAACAATAATCCTCACCGGACTGTTAACAAAAGCCCGGAGGAACGAAATAATCCTCCAGATGATGGCCAACGTGAGTAGAAATCTCGATAAACTCGAGGCCGGACTCGATGCTATCAACAGTGAGACGGAAGTAGCAAAAACAAGATTTCTAAAATTGATTGGAATTCAGCGGGAGCGTTTGCTCGATTGTGTTTTCCGGAGGGTTGAACGGGAAAAGGAGAAGATAACAACTTTCACCAGTTCGAGGGACCCGCCTGAACTACCTTAAGAAGTCATCTTCACGTTGGAACACTTAATTATAAATTTAATCATCTCATGACAATCACCAGAAAATATTCACACGACTATTTACGATCAAATACATCAATTAATTGATAAATAATGCACCAACGAGTACTTTAGACATTAAATGAGGCACCTGATGTGAGGGAAGAAATTTTAAAGAAGAAATTAAAAAGAGTTTTAATGTTCTCTGGGTTATCACGATTTAATCTCCATTTATGTTAAAAATAATGAAGTGACAGTAATAAGAATAACGAAAAAAAAATTTCAAAAATTAATTGGAATTCAGCGGAAGTGTTTGCTCGATTGTGTTTTCCGGAGGGCTGAACGGGAAAAGGAGAAGATAACAACTTTCACCAGTCCGATGGACCCGCCTGAACTACCTTAAGAAGTCATCTTCAGGTTGGAACACTTAATTATAAATTTAATCACCCCATGACAATCACCAGAAGATATTCCCACGACTATTCACGTTTTCATACATCAATTGATCGATAAATAATGCACCAATGAGTACTTTAGAGATTAAATGAGGCACCTGATGTGAGGGAAGAAATTTTAAAGAAGAAATTAAAAAGAGTTTTAATGTTCTCTGGGTTATCACGATTTAATCTCCATTTATGTTAAAAATAATGAAGTGACAGTAATAAGAATAACAAAAACAAGATTTCAAAAATTAATTGGAATTCAGCGGGAGCGTTTGCTCGATTGTGTTTTCCGGAGGGCTGAACGGGAAAAGGAGAAGATAACAACTTTCACCAGT